GGCTTCTCACTCTCTCCAGTCCTTGAAGCAATAAATCTCTCCTCTAAGGAGACAGGAGCAACCCCAGCTGGTTTCAGTTACTACTGACCATCATGGATCCATCAGTCATGAGTCATGGCCATGGTCTCAGCCTTCTGTGAAATGCCACCTTGCTTCTCTCTGAACAGGACTCTGCCCTGCTTCCTTCTCTGCTTCCCTTGCTTATTCTTCTGTATCTTCATAACTTAACATTAGAGCCATCAGAGTTCAGTCCTCACTTGTTCTCTCTTTTCTGTCTACATGACTCCTCTGACATCCTGCCTGTACCATTGTTGTCAGTTTCCACATCCATATCTCCAGTCTACTCTCTCTCTTGTGTCTCCAACTACCTTGGGTCTCTTGGTACATCGTCACTTGGTTGTCTGTCTCATGGACACCAATATTATGTTCCAGGGCCAGGAATATAGTCAAAAGAGCTAGTGCTCATGTTTCAGACCCCAAGTACCACATGTTCTTCCAAGCACTGCTGGAGTAGCCCATGAACACAGCCAGGTATAACCCAAAACCCAAAACCAAGTCAAACAAAAGAAAATGAAGGTCCAACCTGAACCTGTATCTTCTCCCTCATACTGTCCTTATCATCCTAGTTGGCTCGATGTCCATCTGTTACTCTGGCCAAAATTTCTGTCATCTTTGTTCCCACTATCCCATGGTCCATACCCAAACTGCTGGGCCTGTATTCAATGTGTACCCAGAATACTGCTGCTCCTCAGTCACTACCACCATCTGAGGAGAATCACTTGCTGCCCTTTCTGGAGGTCTTGCAGGCACACAACTATTCTCCTACCATCCACCCTGCCCACTTAGTTCATCTCTATACCTCGGTTAGAGAGCACCTAGAAAACTGACATTCAGGTTTGTCCAGTTGCTCTATTTCACTCAGTAAAAATCAAGGTACTCCAGAGCTCAGTGTGTTAAGTCAACTCTTAGGTTTTTGACCTGGGTTTGAGCTCCTCTCTTCCCACTGTTTCTGTCACTCATCTCCTTGAATACATTGAGAACATTTTCACTGGTTTTGTCTCTGCCTGCAAATGTCCATCACTTGTTCCTTAACGTCCTGGCCATCTTTGAGCCAATGTTACTTCTCCAGGACACCATCCTCGCTCACTTTTTTATACATTAGAACAGCCTCACCCTACTTCTGACATCCCCATCTGCTCTATTTCACCTCCATTCTCACTCACATTTGTAAATCAAATCATCTTCTATACTCTGTATGATTTATCTATTTTGCTATTTCTAGTTTCTCTTCCTCACAGAAGGCAATCTCCACAGAAATAGGTTCTTTAGTCTGCTTTGTTCACCATTCTGTCCCAAGTGCTTCGAGTAGTACATGGCACATAATAAACACTCAATAAATACTTGTTGGATTGAATTCCTCATACATTCAGTGTTCCACATCTCTCTCCCAAAAGAGTACTCCAAAGCAGAGCACTTCAGGGAAACAAGGGTTTTATATGGGAAGATTCAAGTATTCTTCTCCCATGCCTCCTCCTTTCTTCCTTCCTTCCTTCCTTCCTTCCTTCCTTCCTTCCTTCCTTCCTTCCTTCCACACCTCACACCCCTGCCACATGTCCCCATGTTGTCCTTTGCCCATGTCATTGCTGGACAACTGGTTCATATGTTCTTCTCTGTCTCTCTGTCTCTCTCTGACTCTCTGTCTCTGTGTCTGTCTCTCTCTCTCTCTGTATCTCTGTCTCTGTCTCTCTCTCTCTCTCTTGCACTCTCTCTTTCCTACAATACCTGCACTTCTAGCCCTAAATGATCACTAGAGAGTATAACCCCATCAAAAAACAGGAAGAGATAATTATTCTACCCTTTTTCATGACTTGTGTCAAATTGCTTCTAGCCTTTATTTCCAGGAAGAATTTTTCACAGCCCCTAGGGAATCCTCCTTTGGACTTCAACATTCAGCTACAGGCCAGTAGTGTACTTCCCACAGGCTCGCCTCCAGCCAAAGGAGAATGTGACAGACCAAGTATCAGTAGCCAAGGAAGGCTCTGCAGGGCGGCCCAGGCTCCTGTGCATCTGGCTTCCATGGGTCGATGACGGGAGTAGGAAGCTCTGGCTTCATCCTGATAAATAATGAACACAAAGGGGGTTATAGCAGAGTTTAGGGCATAAAGGAAAGTCTTGAAAGTATGCCTCTTGCCAACCTGCACTGATGACAGATCTGTGGGTTTCCGCTATTCTGAAGGCACTGATGGAAAGAAGGAGTACGGCATAGAAAGATGGACAGAAGAGACCCCAAGATCTCCCTTGAAACAGAAAAGAGTGAAGGTCTGAGTTTGGGGGGACCACACCCACCTCGCTGCTGCCCCCACAGGATGCTCTGAGCCAGTGACTGGGGACAGAGCCCTGGGTCTGGGTCAACCAGCGTCTCAGAGCTACAGTGAACAATCAGCATTTCAGGATTCACCTTCCTCTCAGGCCTCTCAGACCTCACACCTGAAGCTGCTAGTTAGCGAGCTGAGAAGCCGACCTCTCCTCTCCTCTGAATCTGCTTTCCGTTTCCATGGTGATCATTTAAACTTTACATCCTTCCTCCAGTCCTTGAGGGAGAGGTACCATCTCTGGTTTCCATGACAACCCTTTAAACATGTATCTCTGGCTCTGTTGGAAAGGAGCTGCTAGCAAGCGTGCAAATGCACAGGCTGTTCTCCTTTCCTTTAAAAAATAATAATAATAAAAATAAAGTGACACACCTGCTTAGAAGTTTCAGCTCTGCTCATAACAAGTCGGGTGAAAATGTCAAGCTGGTGTTAAGGCAGAGTTTGCCACATTGCTCTGATACTTCCACTGCTCTCCCCAGCACACGGGTGCATGCTGCCATCTTGGACAATTATGTATGCTCAGCTCAGCACCACCCCTCCCGTTCCCTCTGCCTGGCCATGAAAGAGCTGCAGATTCAAGGCTATCCACCTTCTTGCTGCAGACTGAAGGAGAGCCAGGCCAGAGTGTGTAGGCAGCCGCCCTCCCTAACCCACTCCTCCCACTGTGGTGGTGATGTCAGCTGCTAATCTCCCAAGTCAGTTCCTAATACACTTCTGGAGACTTCGGTGATAGCTCCAGTAATATGAAAATCACATACCTCCGTCTTTCGCAAATGACTCCTCCTCTGTCAGAATTCAAGGCCTAGAGAGTCAGTAGGTGACTCAGAGGAACTCAGGAAAAGCAGAAGGATGAAGAGACTGGCCCCCGTCCCTACGACCACATGCCCCAAACTACAGGTTCCAAAAGGCAGCAAGCCCCCGCCCCCCCACCCCACCCAGACAGATTCAACGTGCTTCAAACCGAGAGTCAACATTTCAAGTGCAAGTATTCAAGCAGAATAGAGAATGAGTACTTTTCCTTGGAAAATCAACAGACCAGCATGAGAACAGACCTTCTGTGCAAAGAGAGCTCCTCTAGATCTCAGTGGCCCAACTCCAAGAAGCAAGTGTATACTCTTCCTAAAAACAGCTGAACTTGCAATTTGCCACAGCAGACAGACAATGACCCATCAATCACCAAAGCTGCCAATAATGAAAGAATAAATTATTACCTGGGGGGAGTGGAGGAGGGGAGCACAGAAGAGCCAAAGTTCCTTTACTCCATCCCCACCACTGCTCCCCACTCCCAAGGTCTTCAGTCATCTAGACAAGACTGAGACTGGAGGTCACAATAGGCCACCAGGTGGAGGTACCTGTACAGGTGTGGGTCCTTGGGGGCTCATTTATGATCCTTCACTGAAACCAGTGCCTAAGGCCTAGAAGGCCCTTGATCTTTCTTGGGATATGCTTCTATATAACGCCACTATTTTTGCTTCTATTGTACAGTAGTTCATAAGCAAGTAAGTCATTTGGCTGAAAATATCTGCAAAAATATTTTTGTAGGACAAAACTAGCTGGTTGGTTGAAAAAAACTGACAGGTCAAGTCAGGAAGCCCCAATTTTATCCAGAGAGTTGTGGTTTGGAGACTTGGAGTCTCCTTCCTTCCTTCCTTCCTTCCTTCCTTTCTTTCTTTCTTTCTTTCTTTCTTTCTTTCTTTCTTTCTTTCTTTCTTTCTTTCTTTCCCTGACTGTGCTCAGAACTCCCTCCTGGCTCTCTGCTCAGAGATCATTCCAGGAGGGGCTCGGAGACCATATGTGGTGCTGGGGATCAAACCTGAGTGAAGATTGAACCCAATCAGCTGCACACAAGGGAACCACCCTAGCCACCGTTACTGCTCTGGCCCTCTTTCTCTCTTTTTTCTTTCTTCTGCCTTTTTTTATTCCCTCCTTCTTTTCTTTTATAGAGTGTTGCCCAGTGGTGTTGGAGGACAGGATGAGATCACTCACTACAGTGCTTAGCTGGGCGGTGAGAAAAGCCCACGTTTTAGTGCTCAGGCCCAGAAACCAAGAGAAGTCACCAGCACACACAGAGGTCGGACAGTGCTGGGGATTGAACTGAGCCTCTCACAACAAGCAGGCCTGTGCTCTAACCCTTGAGACACACGTCCAGTCCTTCACCATCTCCTTAATGCCCAGCTACATAAGTTCTCCAGAGGCATATTTTTCAGCTGTAAGATGCAGACAGTAATGTCCCTTTCACTGAGTTTCCACAAGGACCAAACAAGATCATGAATGGAAGACATTAACACAATGCCTGAAGCTTGGGGGAATTTAAGAAAATTTTTTAATTCTCACTGAAAGCCAGTGAGAATTCGCTTTCTTTCTGGTTCCTCTCTCCCCACCCCATGAGCCTTCTTGTCTCTTGTTTGAGAATTAGGGGCAAAGCCATGCTATTCTTGTACATATCACTTTCATTTGTCAGACTCAATGGCTTAATAGCTGGGAGTAAGAGATGAAAAAAAAACACGAGGAAGTTATTGCTGAGCACAGACCTGGCCCCCAAATTATCAGGAATTTGTCAGAAAATTGACTGATGACACTAGGAAACTGTCTTGGTTTTGTTTTTGTGTGTGTTTGCGACTATTTTAGGGTGCACTACGGGAGCATCATATGTCAATCAAAAGATGAAAGATATCCAGGATGTTTGGGAAAATTTCAAAGGAATGAAAGGCCAGACATTCCTTGGTTTGCCACAAAGGCGAGCAGAAGGTGATCATACAGTGTTTCACATCTACAAAGGAGTTAAAGCATTTTCATTCTGTAGAAGAAAGAACTTGCTGCTGACAGGTGGAATGGATCGAATCATTCGAGTCTGGAATCCTTATCTGCCAGGGTAAGTTTTCTTTCTCCCTCCAACTGACTGTGCCAGTTTATAGGACCAGGGTAGGAAGAGACATGAAAGCAGAACTGGAGACCACCGTCCCCTTTTTAAAAAAAACTTAGGAGGCCATTGACTGAAATTGGTGTCTCTTCCACACAACCTATGAAATTGCTGTTTATGACATTCATTCAGGGGAGGGGAACAACTCACTTTAAATAAAAACACCTTGCAAAGATGAAGAGCCTGGTGTGGGCACCATCCTCCTCCCTGCAACCCCACTCAGCATGGTTTCCTTTCGTCCAATCACTGACTTCCTATGAGGGTCAGGACCAGCTGCAGAGAGAGATTAGGGAGGGTCTGTTGCATAATCAATGTCAATGTACCTTTCTCTACCTCACTCAGCAGTAGGTTTGAAATCATTTCTCCATAGGAGTTGCCCAGCCCCACCAGAATTAATGATTCTACCTCCTTCAAGATACAATAGATGTAAGAAAACAGGACTTGTGCTCTAAAGCCTAGAACTGGGGTGCTGGGAGGCAAAGAGTCCTTGAAGACATTTCACTATTGCATCCTTACTACATAAATACTCTGTGCTGCAGAGAATCCGGCCAGAACACTACTGCGCATGTGTCCCTCCAAGGCACAGATTTAGGGTCACCGTCTTCATCAGAGAAATGCCATCATTTTATTGAGCACCTACCTTGTACCCTGCAATTCACACAGATTATCTCTAATCCTCCTAATAACCCCACTGGCAAATAAAGATACTGAATCTTAGAAGAGTTGACTTTGGGGGAGAAGTAGTGGCAGGAGCAACATTCTTATGCCTTTTCAACTGAGATGTGTGGAAGGCAACAGGAGGGAGGTAGGGAGTTGCTTTTTCAGGCATTGATGTTGGGGAGGAGAGGATGACAGCAAATCATTTAGGAGTATTTAGGGAGCCTGGAGCAGGGCAGAAGGGGACTTGACAGGAGACCCTGTCAGTAGCAGTAGGCTCAGAGAAGGCAGGCAAGCATGCGGGATCTGATCACTCTGACTGGCAGATCTTAACCAGGCCCGTCTTAGGTTTATCTCTATGATGTTGGTAACAGGAGTACCAGCTCCCAGGCAGGAATAAAGCTTCCCAGTGAGCACGCAACACAATGTCAGATGCCTAGTAAGTAAGAAACATCAGTTCCTTCCCACGTCTTTTCCCTTAAACCCCTGTTTGTCTCCTTGCCTGAGCACCCTCAGCTCACTTTCCGGTGTTTGTTTTTAAAAGGGCTCTGTGCTCTCTCCTTCAGCCTTGGCCTTACCTCCCCTTCACTGCACAGTCCAGCCTGAGACCTTAAGAGGCTCCATGGACTCTCACAGCTCCTTACAATAACTTAGATTTAGGAAAATTTTTTTTGTTTCTTTGTTTGGGGGCCAGACTCAGTGATTCTCAGGGGTTGCTCCTGGCTCTGTACTCAGGAATTAGTGAGTCCTGGTGTTGCTCAGGGGACCATAAGGGATGCTGAGGATCAAACCTGAGTCAGCCGCATACAAAGCAAGTACTCTACCAGCTGTACTATTGCTCCAGCCCAAAATGATCTTAGATTTAAGGGCCAGAGAAGATATTACACTGGATAAAGTGCTTGCTTTACAGCCAACCCCTGTCTGATCCCCAGCACCACATATGATCCCCCAAACATCAGGAGTGCCAGGAATAGTTCCTAATCATCACTGACTATGGCCTTATACCAAAAGAAATTAAAATAAAATAAATTTATATTTAAAAGTATCCCGCCCCTGCCCCCCAGCTCAGAACTCTGTTAACTGCATGAAGCAACAGCCATGAAAATCTATTCCAGTCTATCCTGAATGCATCTTCATTCATTCCTTTTATAGTGATATTGTCAGCAGTGGCAGAAACAAAGCCCTGGGCTTCAGCTCACACTGAGTTGTGTTTCTATAACCGGGTATTATTTGCTCACTCCTTTTATCACACAAGACATCTACTTGTGTAATTTCGGAGGGAAACATAACCCTCCTCCAGGCTGAATAGAACTGCCAGATCCGGGCCAAGTTTAGTCTTAAATTTTTATTTAGAAATAGCAGCTAGAACCGCTTGGTGCTCATCTGTTCTTTTTCCATTCTAGAAAACCAATTGGGCTGCTGAAAAGTCACACAACTCCAGTGCTGTACATCCATGTGTCTGCTGAGGATAACACAATATTCTCCATGTCCACTGACAACACAGTGAAGGTCTCTGCCCTTTTATGTTTGGAAGCATTATCGCTTGCGTTTCACACCAAGACCATGTTCCTTCCATGGTTTCTTTTGTCCCTCTCTGCACTTTTAGATACCACTGCTATGGCAGATACTCAAATGTGTTGACATGTGTTAGTTTGCTTTGGAAAGGAAGTAGATGTCTGTAACCAAAGGGTGACATTTATTAGTTTTTGTTGTTGTTGTTGTCTTTGGGTTTCTTGCTTTAGTTTCTGGACCATATCCGGCAGTTCTCAGGAATTACTCCAGGATCTGCACTCAGGGGTCACTCCTGGATGGGCTTGGGGGTCATATGGGGTAACAGGTATCGAACCCTGGATGGCTGCATATAAGGCAAGAACTCTACAAGGTACTAACTCTCTGGCACACCAAAAATTTCTGTACCTGGCATTTCTTGCTAAGCTTGTTAAACTTAGCATTTCTTGTTAAATGTGCTAATGTTGCAGCACAAAGATCCTACCTTGTTTTCTCCCTGGCACAAGTATGTTGCAACGATAGTGTGAACGTGTGTGCTGGAGGACAGGGAAGAGAAACAGGGACATCCAGGAGGCATCATGATGACCAGGGTGCTTATCACCACACCTTGCAATACACTTTGGGCACATGGGCCCTTTCTAAAATGTTGTCTGCAAAACCTTCATATTTCAAAGTTTCTGGATCCATTGGCAAGACTATCACCATCTTCATTTAGGTAAAGGTAAAGGTAAAGGCCCTCCCGTTGATCGTCGATTTGCTCGAGCGGGCCCAGTAACGTCTCCATTGGAGACTTTGTTGTTACTGTGTCTGGCATATCGAATACTCTCGGTAGCTTGCCGGGCTCTCCGAGAGGGGCGGAGGAATCGAAGTTGGGTCGGCCATGTTGGCCGCTTGTAAGGCGAACGCCCTACCCGCTGTGCTATCGCTCCAGCTCCAGGGCTGGAGCGATAGCATAGCGGGTAGGGCGTCTGCCTTGCACGCAGCCAACATGGCCGACCCGAGTTCGATTCCTCCGCCCCTCTCGGAGAGCCCGGCAAGCTACCGAGAGTATTCGATATGCCAGACACAGTAACAACAAAGTCTCCAATGGAGACGTTACTGGGCCCGCTCGAGCAAATCGACGATCAACGGGAGGGCCTTTACCATCTTCATTTATTGCCTCACATACCTGTCTTTATACTTAAGTTTCTGTCTACCTGTAAAATTTTCATTCCCTAATGATCTTCGTTATGCATACTTTTTAAACAAAAAAAAAGGAAATCTTGGTTGTTCTGCTTAGCTCTCACTTCATAGGGTTTTCCAGTGACTGACAGGTATGAATGAGCCATTCGCCTTTTCTGGACTGTCTTGAGGTTGATGGTTAGAATTAGAAGCCCATTGAACTAAATAAACTCCGGAATCCCAGGAGAATGCTATCTATGTCTCTCTTTTGTACAAAAATAGACACTAGTTCACTGATGCTTCAATAAACCATTAATAGAGGTAATGGGCAAAGCTGTGTGTGTGTACATGTTTATAATAGTTAAGTCTGAATCCCCAGCACCTTGGAGTGTGACTGTACTTGAGATAAGGCCTTCTCACATGCTAGTAAGGATCAATGAGTTCTTATGGCTTGAACCCACTGCGACTGGTATCTTCATAAGAAGAGGTCACAAAACTCAGATCATCAGAGTGTTACCCTGTGGGGACCAATAAACAGGAAGTCATCTCCAGGCAAAGAGAGAGGCTAAGGCTCCGGATTAATTATGAAATGTATCAAAGAGCCATAGCTACAGAAACAAACACTAGTTTAGTGGCAGTTGCCTGGGGTGGGATTAGGTCAGGGTTTCCTTCGATCACGACCATCCTGTTGTTCATCGATTGCCTCGAGCAGACCCCAGTAATGTCTTCTTCGTCCTAGCCCTGAGATTTTTTAAAAAGTGCCATATTAAAAGCTCTTCCGGAGTTAGGAGAATGAGACTCACCATTGTTACTGGTATTTGGCATATTGGGTACACCACGGGGAATTTGCCAGACTCTGCCGTGTGGGCAGGTTACATTCGGTAGCCTGTCATTTTGTCCAAAGTAAGAATGAGATAATAAGGTGTCGCACGGACGCATTTGCGGCCGCACACTTCCGGGGACTGGGTTTTATAGTCTCTGGGTCTTGGCCGTTGATGGGATTACACAGCGCCAGGGGACCAGTTGGTGGGTGTGAGCCCTGCCTACTGGAATTTTGAGGATCTGGGTGGAGGATGCTCAGCCCCGATCCGAGCAGGCTTGGAGATCTCAGCCCCGGGACCTGCATGCCTTTGTTCCTCTGCCGGTACCTTCATGTGTGTGGAGAGTGGTCTCAGCATGGTGGTAGCTGGTTCTGGAGGTCTTCGGCTGCCGGAGCCCTGGTCGGGACAGGGAGGGAAACTCAACCCGCTCCCCTCCAAGGGGCCCCGGTGAGGAGAGCCAGGCGTGGGGGCAGGAGACTCTGCTGGGGGTGGGGGATTCCTTACGGGTTCACATAAATGTCTTGAAGTTAGACCATAGTAGTGGTTGCCCAACTCTGTAAATATGCAAAATAAACAAACTGAAAAGCAAAACGGATGCTTTTAAAATACACATATTTTAACTTTTTTACTGAATCACTGTGAGATAAACCCTTACAAAGCTGTTCATGATTGGATTTCAGTCACACAGTATTCCAAAACTCATCCCTCCACCAGTGTACATTTCCCAGCACCAGTGCCCCCAGGTTTTCCCACCCATTACCCTCCACGCCCCACCCCCTACCTGCCTGACTCTGTGGCAGGTTCTCTCTCTCTCTCTCTCTCTCTCTCACTCTCACTCTCTCTCTCTATCCCACTCTCTCTCCCTCCTCTCTCTCCTTCTCTCTCTCTCCCTTCTGGGCATTATGGTTGGCAATATTGATACTGAAAGCTTATCAAGAATATCCCTTTACCTACTTTTAACCTCAGATCTTGTCCAGCATCATCATTTCCAGCTATTACTGTCATACTGGTCTCTTCTCTATCTTACCTACTCTCAGCCTGACACACACTTGTGGTTAGCTCCAACCATTGATCAATCCTTCTATCCTTCTAACCCATCTTTTCCCTGGCCATGGTATTATTTTTCTAATATATATATATACATATATATTATATACCAACAATGAATGCAGTTTAAAATGCACATTTTTGGGGCTGGAGCGGGTAGCACAGCGGGTAGGGCGTTTGCCTTGCACGCAGCAGACCAGGATTATAGGTTATATTCCCAGTATCCCATATGGTCCCCCGAGCACTGCCAGGAGTAATTCCTGAGTGAAGAGCCAGGAGTAACGCCTGTGCATCCCTGGGTGTGACCCAAAAAGCAAAAAAAAAAAAAAAAAAGAAAAGAAAAAAGAAAAGAAAATGCAAATTTTGTGCTCTCAGTAAACTTATCTTCCCTCCTTTTTTTCTTCCTTTCATTTCCTCTTCCTCCCTCCTTCCATCCCTCACTCCCTCTCTCCCTTTCTCTCTCATCTCTTCTCTTCTTTCTTCCTCTTTCCTTCCTACCTTCCCTTCCATTTTCTTTTCTCCTCTCCCTCCCTCCTTCCCCCCTCTCTTCCTTCCTTCCTTCCTTCCTTCCTTCCTTCCTTCCTTCCTTCTTTCCTTCCTTCCTTCCTTCTTCTCTTCCTCCCTCTCTTCCTCCCTCTCTTCCTTCCTCTTTTCCTTCCTCTCTTCCTTTCTCTTTACATGAAAAAGCTGTTGTTTTATTTTTTTTTGAAAGAAGATAGCAGGACAGGATGCTACCAAGGTTTGGGACCTGAGCCAAACTGAACCAGGGAGAAAGTGGTGAGAGCAGCTTGTCCAGGAGTCCCCATGGAGATGTGTTTGGTAGAATCCTCTAGAGTTGAAGAGGGGTTAGGGCTGGAGATGTAAATTTAGAGGCATTAGCATTTAGATGAAACTTTAAGCCTGGGAGTAGAGGAGATTGCAAAGTCAATTTGAAGGGGCAGGAAGGAAACTGAAAAGTTTGCCAGACAGGGCTGGGGGCTCTGGGTTGTTCAGGGATTTGCTGTTGCTGGGGTCCAGTGTGGCACTTGGAGAGTCAGCTTAACGTCCACTGTGGAAATGATGAGGATATTTTATATAAAATTATCTCTGGAGAACCCATCCATGATACCAATAGGATATGAACTCAATTCAGTTCCCTAAGGAAAATTGATGATTGAAATGACAGGATTTCTGAACTTAAATTGTTCTATTGATTTTGAAAATTAAATTCATCCAAAGGCAGTCTCCAAAGCCATAAAGTTAGACTTCATCGTTTTAATGAGCCTTGCTTTCCCCAAACTTGCCTGCATCTGAGAATAATATTTCTGTATGTGAGGACATGTCTTCTGCCTATTTTCTTTCCATGGAACCTCTCCATTTCTTCCCATCTAAACTCATGATGACAAGATTAGCATCTTTCCTGTGATGATTCAGATATATTGAATCATTTCTCAGTGTGTGTTTAAAATATATGGAAATCCTATCTTAAAAATATGGCATATAATTGATTTCAAAATACGTTATTCCCATCAAATAAAAACTAATCAACTAGGAGCCAAACAGCTAAGTTTCTAGCAAGCCTGATCAGATTGTCTTCACTCTTTGAATTGATTTTTCAGCCCAAATATTTCACTTCTGTAAATCACGGGGATGCAGGCAATGTTTCAGGAGTCTGCCATTTCTTGGCATTCTCTAAAGGAGAGCAAAGTGACAGATTTGGGTTTCCGTTTTCACTTGCTTTTTTAACAAATTTAATATTGCACAGCACAAAGAGAGCTGTTTTGTGTCAACAAGAATTAGGATGGAAAGAAATTTCTTTCTTGGAAGGAAGGGAGCATGGTGTATTTGTTAAAGCAAGTCTAACTACTGACAAATAAAATACCTTCTATAGATTGGAAGTAGCAGCGCTCATTTCTATCGACTGTAACAAACCAAGAACAGTATTACTGGCAAGAGACATTTTTTTCTCCCTTTCAAGAACCGGGCTGACTCCATCTGCCAGTTTCCTGCTGTCTAGATTCTTATAGTCCCTTCATCCAAGAGCAATCAGGCAGGAGCATACTCACCTCTTAAATTTCTCAGTCACTGAGAGCCAAAGACATAGTATAGTGTGTATGGTGCTTGCCTTGCACACAGTTGACCCAGGTTCAAGCCCCAACACTACAGATGGCCCCTGGAGCACCACCAACTAGGAGCAATCCCTGAGCATAGAGTGAGGAGTAAGCCCTGCACACAGTTAGGTGTGCCCCCTGCCCCTCAAAAAATAATTAAATCAAGCACATTCCCATCCATAACAGAAATGCTTTCTGTATCATGCTCATTTTCTGCTGCTGGGTGGAAGGAGAAGGAACTGGAAGCCCTTCATCACATATCACCCTGCTTCATGGGTTATCTATCTGCTACCAGCAACCGTGTCACAGTAGGGCCAGGGAAGTTTGGGTTGTGAAGGAAATAACATCGAGTCTCGGGAGATGAGACATACAGAATTGGCTCCAAATTCTTGAATGAACACAGACTCAGTGACTCTGGATGGAATTTCTGAACAAAGCCACTTTTGGTGTATCAGTCTTTTGTGAAATGGGTTGCAAAGGATTCATCTTGCAGAACGTTGTGCCATTCGGTATGAAATGAAGGGATGGATAAAATACAAGGTAATTATGCTAAATGATACGTGTAAAGAAGTTTTGTTAATAATGCCTGGTTTCATTTTTATGTGGAATATGAAGTACTAAAGCAAACAAACTGGCAAGAAATAACCAGAGTGAGTCCTAGACTCAGAAAATGATGGTGATAACTGGAAGGAAGAGGAGAGTGAGGAGCCAGTAAAAAGGTCTTTTTGGTGCTGGGGTTACCCCGGAAATTCAAAGAACTCTTTGAATCCTGCGCACACAACAGAGGTGTTAAATTGTGCAGGAGTTAAAGCTTGAATTTAACAATAGTACAAACTAATAATGGCAGAGGGAAGCGGACATGCTGGAATGCTGTATGCATGAAACTCCAGGCATTACCAGTCTTATAACCCTCAATGGCTCAAAGAGCAGGGTTAGAAAAGGAAGAAAGTTCCCCTGGCCCCTGCCCACTGCACCTCATTTCTCCTCTGTGTTCCTTGGTGCACACAAGTTTTATTGATTCCCACTGCAGAGAAAGACTTTCTCCTTCCAAGTTGCATCAAGTGTAAACGTTGCAGCCTCCAGGTTCACTACCAGTTCCATCCATAAAAACCTAAGAGGGGAACTCTGTTTGACCAGGCTCAACTCCCATGCTTACTCCTTGCAGACAGAGGCAAAACTCTTTCTACTAGACACAAGTGCTGGGCCAACAAGAGACATTAAATAGATGTCAATGGACTATTTTTATTTGGAAGGTTCCATTCAATTTGCTGAGTCAACCTCAACAATTCCAACATCAGAATAAAGGACTACTTTCCACCTTCCCTTATTATGAACCTTGATGGGGCCCTTTTAGAATCCCACCTCGATGACTCCCCAGGTACCAGCACTACCTCTCTCTCTCCCTCTGTTCCCTGCCCCCCAATCCTGGCTCCTTGTCAAAACCCTCTTTCTGGGACTGAGGACTTGGCTCCAAGAGCGAGTGCATGCTTTGCACTCGGAGCCCTGCATCCAATTGTAACTACACAATTTATGAATGTGGCCATGCTATGAAGCACCTACAGAATGTTCTTTAACATAAAAATTTGGGAGCAGGCGACTGGAGTGATAGCAAAGAGGGTAGTGTGTTTGTCTTGTACGCGGCGGACCCCGGTTCGATTGCCAGCATCCCATATGGTCCCCCAAGCACCGCCAGGAGTAAATCCTGAGTACAAAGCTAGAAGTAGCCCCTGTGCATCATCGGGTGTGACCCAAAAATAAAATTGGGGAGCAGGGGACAATTCCACCTATAACAAGAATGAATGAAACAATGCATGTGAAACATTGAACACCAGTGCCTGGCTAACACAAAGGAGCCCACTAAAAATGGCCGCCTTTCAGATAATGGAGACCTTCCCGCTTGGCTCCTCCATCTGCTCCTTTCCAGAGATACCGCCATCTTGTAGTTCTCATCCGATCTCAGAACCAGAAGATAATATAAAAGACCAGGCTAGGGAGATGGTACAGCAGTTAAAGCACTTACCTTGTGTGTGGCTGACCCTGATTCAGCTCCTGGTTCAAATCTGCAGAACTATTTTGGTCCCTTCACACCTCCAGGGGTCACTCCGGAGCACAGAGCCAGGTGGGGTCCAGCCTGCCCTCCTAATACAAGAGCCATAGCAAAAAAATGTTAAGAGCAGGGACTGGAGTGATAGCACAGTGGGTAGGGCATTTGCCTTGCATGTGGCCATTCTGGGTTCAATTCCCAGCATCCCATATGGTGCCCCAAGCACTTCCAGGAGTAATTCCTGAGTGCAGAGCCAGGAGTAACCCCTGTGCAATGCCAGGTGTGACCCAAAAAAGCAAAAAAAATGTTAACAGCAATCTCATCATTCTGATTATTATTGACATGAACCATGTTCTAGCCACAATTCTAAGCACTCTTTAAAAATTATCTTAGTTCTTTAAAGCAACTCTATATGGTTGGTATTATTATTAGTCCCTCCCATTTTACCTCTGAAGAAACAGAGAAAAGGTAGGCATAAGTGATTTGTCGAGGGCCACACAACCATTAAACCACAGAGCTGGATTTTAACTTAGGCTGTGGAATTCTACATTCTCAACCAGCCCTGAGATTTATTCCTCGTGGCCTCCAAATCTCTAGCGACTATTTCAAGAACCTGTGTTAAGAAGTGGGAACAGGGCCAGGAAGATGGTTGGAGCTCATGCTTTGCACGGGGGAGTCTAGACTTCAATTCCTGGCACACCGTGGTCCCCAGAGCACTCATTAACAGTAGCCTCTGAGCAGCGCTGAGTGTGGCCAAACATAAAAAAGGAAATGCAAAAAAGTGGGAACTCATCTTGGAGACAGAGAGAGGAGCATGCTCTGAGCTGAAAGTCAGAGCCACTGAGTCAGCCTCTAAGATGAAGACCAAGTGTGTGTAAGGACAGAAACTACTGGGTTAGCTCTGCAACTCCAGCCACATTAGCCTCCCAGAAGGGTCAGGAACACAGGCCCGCTTCCCACTTCCTTGGCAAACAACAAAGAAGAAAACTCCACTTGACTATTATTATTTTCAGCAAAGTGAAATATTCTTGTTGAAAAAGGTTTACTTAGAGAAATGTGACGAGAGAGCTACATGTTCCGGAGACAACAAGGGCTTCTTCAGAGGGCAAAAAGCCAAGAGCATGCATCTCACATTCCTATGGAAATGCGACCATCCTCAGGGCTGAGAGTGTCTTCACAAAGTTGGTTTTACAGTGCGGCTTCATCCAACTACTTGGGCCTAGAGTTCTCTGCACAGAGAAACGTTAACCTGGCTAGTGTCAAAGGGAAAAAGCCTTGAACTCTTAGTGGTCACTTTGATTCTCTGGAAACTCCTCCTTTTCTGAAGGACACCCCTCTCTCCTTTCATTTCGGAACCCTTTTGGGTGGTGGGGGAATGGACTGGTACTCACCACATCCCCACAACAGGGATGCAGAATCACGGCACGGGGGACTGTCCCAAACCTCCAGTGACACCTCCCTTTCCTCCTCAGATCTGGGACCTGGACACCCATGGCTGTTTGTTTTCTGCCTCAGCCAAAGCCAGCGGAATTACGGGCGAGCTGGCTGCCTGCCTCTACCTCCCCCACCTCAGAACCCTGTGTGTGGCCACCAAGGCCGTGGCGCTCCTGCACCTGAGACTGAGGTACGGAGGTGTCTTTGACCCCGACCCACCTGCCCACTGAAGCTGCCCCCCACCTTGACGAATCCCGCCAGCAATGTCTCTGAGAGAGCCCCCACCTCATAATCTGTGTGCAGAGAACCCTCTGGAATATGGGCCTCAGTGAACCCTCTGCACCCAAAAGTCTGGAATCTGCCTCCTGAGTCCTGGTCCTGCCAGCATATTTGGAGTAAAGCACCTGACCAGGCCAGGGGGGGGGGGGGGGGCGGCAATAAGTCAATGCAAAGGAGAACCCCCAACAGAAAACCCCGTGTCTTACATTTGGAGGAGCACTCAGGACTGTGCAGGTATGTGAATGACCGGTACATGTGGACACCCTCTACTGGGCTCATCCTGCCCAGGACCCTATGGCCAGAGAGGTCCAGTGTCATGAAGATTCTAGACTCAGCACCTCGTTCCACTCCTCCTTGGCTCCCCTTTCTGTTGAGTCTTGTCCTATCCCCCCTGTTCTGCTACTCATTTGTCAGCCCCCCTTACTACTATCACCTCCACTTCAGAAAGTCCACTGACCTGCACCCCCCCTTACACTGATCCCAGGTGCCTGCAGTCCACCTGCCCAGGTGAGGCTGTCTGCGATGACGGGAGAGTTCTAAGTCCTGTCTGTCATCTAGGCTGGTATTTCTCAGCCAGGGACTATGAGACATACCCCCCCACCATGTGACCCCCAGGATAGTCTAAGGAGGCTATGGGTGAAAATGGTGTAGCTAGGAGGTGGGACAGACAGCACCAGACTAAGGATCCAGCAGTTTATACAGGAACCTCAGAAGGGAGGCAGGGTCAGAGGAGGCAACACTGAAGTAGGACAACTCAGAAGTTGTGAAATGAACAAATGGAGGCCTAGACAAGGGATAAATTTCCCAGGCCACAGCGAGAACTTGGCGCTCCAGAGGCACCCCGGGTCCTGTTTGTGCTGCTGTTCAGAGTCTTCCCCCTACACCACATTTCTTCGAAAGGATGCGGACCTCCATCTGAGACCTCAAGGCAGCAAGTGCGCTCTGCATTTCAGACACTAAGAGGCACGCTGGGCTAACCTGCTTTCCCAGAACCCGCAGAGACCATCCTTCCCAGGGTCTAGGAGTCTCCTGTGGGGTAGGGAGGCCAGACCACCTCCTCTGGGGCTAGCCACATCCAGTCAGGGGCAGGTCTTTGCTCACCTCCTGCCCTTGGACCATGGACAGCCTGTGTCTGGAAATAAGAGCATTGTTTATTACCCTTCGTAGCTCAGATAGGGTCCACTGTCATTTCCCACCTATATGTCCCCCACTGGCTGCACAGACATAAATTAATTTCTCAGCCCTCACCAGCAGCTTCTCCCCAGGGATCTCCACAGGAGTCTCTGAGATCAGGGAAAAGCAAGCAGAGAAGAATACTGTGGTGGGCTGATTTCACATTCTATGAATATAACAGTGACTGGATTTCCTGAGTAGAAAAGTGATGGCATATAGTGCTGAATGCCATTTTTATAAACACTTAAAAATGTTCATAAAAATCTTAATCTTAAATCCACCTGTCGTCCTGAACAACTAAGTCACATGTCAAGAATGAATTTAAGAGATCAAGCAGATAATACAGGAAGTAGTGCTCTTGTCTTGCTTTCAGCCAACCTAAGTAGATCCCAGCACCACACAGGGTACTCTGAGCTCTTCCAGGAATTATCCCTGAGCACAGTGCATTGCTGGATGTGGCCCAACTCCTACCTTTCCCAAAATAATGTACTTACTGGAAAAGTCATCAGCTTTCATATCATCAGAACTATACGGAGAAGTAGCTGTCTGTTCCTGTAATTTCTCTTCTGAACTTGCCCACAGGGGCCATGGGAAAGGCTGGCCTGGATTGGAGAACAACTGTCAAATCGAGGATACACCCAGAATGGCAGCTCTTTACTCAAGATCTAAAGCAGTCAGCTGAAAAGCAGGGACTTAAATCTAGCGACATCCCTGTATTGAATACACAGACTGCTTGATTGACTGTGTTTTTTTTTTTCATTAAAGTTGCTGAAATTCTATCTCATGGCACAAACAGCCTCTGTTGCTAGTGCCAACAATTATTTGAGAAATCAGTCACAGCTGCCAGATCCCTGCCCGGTGTGGAAGCTTTGATCCTGATCAAAGCTCCCCACCACTTTCAGCCCTTCCTCGGTCTCCTTGTCTATGAGGAGAGGAGGCTTGGATCCCTTCTCCCTGCATTGTTAAAGAGAGATGAGGTGAAAGAAACAGGCCTGTCTCTATGCTCCAGTCCTCTCTTCAGCCAGGCTCCTCCTGACATCCTGCCAGCCTAGAACCATCATGGGGAAACCCTCGGCACCTCTGTGCTAGGTCCTGTTCTTCTGGGAAGAGGGTTCTACAAGGAGATGAGTTCAGGTTCTATGTCTGAGGCTTCAGAATCCTGTAGATTTCTCTGGGAACATTCCCACCTTGGCCTTGAGCATTAGAAGGACAATGAAGAAAGCAGAGCGGCAGTGTTGCAAAATAAGAGTCATGTATTTAGTGTCCACTACCTGCCACGTTCCTCTGGGCACTTCATCATTCCCTGCACACATTTCTGTGATGAATCCCAGTTTACATATGAGACAAGCCATGCTTGCTGAGAGATGGTTGGCTCACTCAAGGCCTGTCCCATCAGAGTGCTGACCTCAGCATATGGATATTAGGGCAAAGTTGGCATGCACCAGGGAGCCATTTGGAACTGATGGAGATGGTGGGGAGTGGTAAGAGACCTGCAGGAGTCTGCCTGCTAGGCCCCCCAGGATCTGTCTTCTAAGTGAGAGAGAAGCGCTACTTTTCAGGCTTGAGAACTCAGAATGGGTTCACAGAATGGTGCTCTTTGGGGGAAGATGCAAAAGATCAAGGAAAATGGTCCATTGATGTTTTTACAAACTCACACACCTAAAGAGACACGTGATGTGCCTGCAATGCACATGTATGTGTACATGGATATCAGTGTGTGCATGCATGTAAAGTTCTGTGATAAGGACATTGTATGTGTTTTTTTTTAACTCATCTCAAAACAAACCCTCCTGATAGGTATCATTAACCCCCTTTAGCAGATAGAAAAAATAGGGTTTTGAGTTTTTAAGCAATGTGTCGAAATCAGACAAATATCACAGACTCATCATCTAAACTCAAGCCAGAGGGCAAGGAGCAATCTGGAGGGTTAAGGGGATAGCCTTGCATGTAGCCAACCTGTGCTCAACTGCTGTTATTACTTATGGTTTCCTGAGTTCTGCCAGGAGTGATCCCTGAGCACAAAGTCAGGAGTAAGACCTGAGCACCACCAGACACTAGGTAAAGGTAAAGGCCCTCCCGTTGATCGTCGATTTGCTCGAGCGGGCCCAGTAACATCTCCATTGGAGACTTTGTTGTTACTGCGTTTGGCATATCGAATACTCTCGGTAGCTTGCCGGGCTCTCCGAGAGGGGCGGAGGAATCAAACTCGGGTCAGCCATGTTGGCCGCTTGTAAGGCGAACGCCCTACCGCTGTGCTATCGCTCCAGCCCAGACACTAGAGAACCCCAAAATAATTATCATCATGACAATAAAATTAACTCAAGCTTAATGTCTTCACCAAGCTCTACTAAGACCACAGATGTCTCCTCCCAGATAAGTATGTCGTTCTCATTCCTTCTGTTCAATAGTTGTATTTTTCTCACTGTTTTCTATGTCCAAGATGTCCTGTGGAGCCTCAGCTGGTGGTCTCCCACAGAGAGCCTGTGGTGTGCTGCAGGTACAACCCCGTCTTCCGGCAGGTGGTCAGCTGCTCAGAGGCATCAGTAAGTCAGTGAATCTGCTCTCTTTTCCAGAGAGGTCAGGATGAGTATTGACCTGGCCTTACCATTTTCCCAGAAAGCTGAACAGTGTTCTTAAGACATTATGTCCCAGGGAGAGTCAGTGACATTGTTTTGATGCTCTTCTGAGAAAGGGGTATGGGAGTACTCACAATTCCTTCCGTGGCATGTACTATGAGGGCTGTTTGGAAGAACCATCCTCGTACAGACCGGAGACAGCACAGTAGCTCATGTGCTTGTATTACAACCCGGGTTCTATCTCCAGCATCCAATATGGTCCCTTGAGCCCCACTATGAGTGAACCCTGAGCTCAGAGCCAGGAAGAAGCTCTGAGCATTTCCAGTGTGGTCTGAAAACAAAAACAAAAGAACCATCTTAATAATAAGGACACGGAATGAGTCTTTTTTAATTAAAATCTTTTTTATTGAATCACCATAAGACACAGTTACAAAGTTGTTCATAATCCAGTTTCAGTCATACAATGTTCCAACACCAATGTATGTTTCCCACCACCAATGTTCCCAGTTTCCCACCTACATCCCCCTCCCAAGCCTGCCTCTATGGCAGACACTTTGTTTCTCTCACTTCCACTTTCTCCTCTCTCCCTCTCTATCTCTCTCTCTCCTCTCCCTCTCTCTCAATGAGTTCATTTTGAGTCTCATAGAATGTAAGATGATTACTACACCCCTAACATACCAAAACCCTGAACTGGGTTTGAAGCTACTGGATATCCCATGTCCATTTATGCCTTCACAAGGGCTGACGAGCAAAGTTCTGGCTGTGTGAGCAGCAGTGTCCCCAGGAGAGGGTAAAATGAGAGTATGTGGATAAAGAGTGAGAAGAGAGAGTTTCCCACTTTTCAGGTTCTCTGTCCTGGAGCCAATGGTAGCATACGTCTCAAGTATACTTTGGGGTTGAAACGTTCTGAAATTTCACTCACTTTCTGTGTCACTGACCTAGGCTCTAGTGTTACAAGCCAGTGCCCCAGACAACCTGGCCAGCCCCCTTTCCCTCCTTGGGCCTTAGCCTACTTTTAAGAAAGATAGTTTCTGGAGCAACTCAACTTTGACCCAAACCTCTTCCTCTTCCCTCTCACCATAGCTTTACCTCCAGTGACACTCATTTCCTTTCATTAGTGTTCTTGCCTCATTTCCACCCAGAAGATTGGTGATAAAAGTATAAAAAGAAATAGATTAGCTGGTCTGTTGATCATAAAATGATTTTTTGATGACTCGGGTTCAATTCATTTCAAAGGAGGTTGGTTTATGCATAGCTCAGGTTCAGACTAGTCACGATGCATTTGTCCTTCAGATCTATCAGAATCAACTATAGCTTCAAGGAGGCCAAACTAATTTGCCTTCTGTGATTGCTAAATATTTCAGCCCTATGTTCTGACCAAGCATTCCCCATCTCCACCCTGGGATTTCCTGCCTCCTCCTTATCCCTACACATGCCTTAGCAGTCCTCCAAGGTCTGCTCATGAGAAGTCTTAATGTTTTATTTTGTTGTTTTTTTTTTTGTTGTTTGTTTCTGGGCCAAACCCAGTTGTGCTCAGGGTTTGCTCTTGTCTCTGCTCTCAGATCATTCCTGGTGGGGCTCAGAGTGCTGGGATTGAACCTAGGCTGGCCTCATGGAAAGTAAACGCTCTATTGTCTGTACTATCTCTCCAGACAAGGAGTGTTGGCTTCACTGGCTGGCTCCCACGGGTCCTTCCCTCACAGTCGGTGACCAGCACGTAAGACAGGACTGTGTTCTCACTTGCACTGTGCTGTGACATGGGCATGAGCTTTGACTCTAGCTTTGACTCCACTTGGCAGGGACTGAGGCTAGGGAATCAGTAGAACGTCTGTGTTCCCCCATCTTATTCTTTAAGACACAAGTCAGATGTCAGCCCCTCTGCAGATACATCTCTCGATTCCCCCCTCCCATATCCAGGCAGAATGAATGGATCCATTAGTCTTGGGGGATGCTGAGTCCATGGTACCATAATCGGCCTCCTTTAAGAGCCTTACTTTTGATCTGCACTCCTTTGGCAGCAGGTGGTAGGAAGATGTTGAATTGGATATAAGTACTTTCACAGCTATTACTGTATTAGGCCCCTTCTGGCAATAAACTCTTCAATACCTACTGAGTTAAAATATGGATTCAAGTATCTGCTCACCTCACAGATTTGTGGCTGTGTGCAATCTGTCACATATTCCCTCCCCCCGTCACCACCATCACTACAGTCAACAGTATGGAAGCCTCATTTCAATCTTTGTGTCTGTTTATGAGAAAATACAGCCCATGATCTTCATGAAACCTGAATTAATTGATGCCCATATACCACATTTGGTCATATAGACAAAATACTAAGGACCAATGTGGGAAGCTGGCCTTTTAACTGATCAAGGGCCTACGTGCCTGTGCTATGTATGGTCATCTTGACCTACGGAACCCCACGGCAGGCACAGCCTGTGCTATGTATGGTCATCTTGATGTATGGTTATCCTGAGAGAACATCTGTCATGGCTATCAGTAATAACAAGAAGTAACTACCTCGTGTCTGGTACGTGATACGTATAAACTTTGTAAATCATATGGATATGGCCCTTTGTGTAACCACCTCGTGTCTGGTACAAGATACGCATAAACTTTATGCGTGATATGTGAAAACAAACCTTCCTAACCATATATGGGGACGACCTTTTGTGTAGCTGCCTTACTAATGGATACATACCCTGATTGCCCCCGATAAAGTCTGTCCCTTTTTCTCTCTGTTTCTAAACTGCATTCTGTCTCTTGTGTCTTGTGTTCATTCGCTTGGTCCCTCCTTGCACCTCCGGATCCTAGGGCCATCTCTGCGGGGCAGAGAGTGGTTTGGCGGGGTCCTCCGCAGACCAACAACTCTCTATGACTCTGAAAAAGCTTGAAAACTGTATAATAAAAATGAATAAATGTTTGATCAAGTGCTTAAGCCAGAATACATATAAACTACAACTTAAAACACAATGTTATATAATATGGAATGTTTATATATAGAAATAAGAATAATTTGTAGGGGAATTCTCAAGTGGTGCTCAAGAAGTCTGGGGCTTCTCCAAGCAATCCTCAGTAAACTGGGCAGGTACTTTAAAACAAGGACTGAATATGTGGTACTTTTCAGATGCTGTGATGCCCTGGATCACCTGGGCCATGCCTGGCAGTGCTTGGAGGTCTCAAGGACTGTAACCTAGCAATGCTTGAGGGACCATGTGGTGCCAGGGATTTAACTGGGGTCAGCTTCACACAAGTCATATGCCTTAACCTCTGTTCTTAAGATATAGATTTTATGAAACAGTTTAAAATAATATTTTCATCACTGTCACTGTCCTCCCGTTGTTCATCGATTTTCTCGAGCAAACCCAGTAACGTCTCCCATTGTGACACTTGTTACTGTGTTTGGCATATTGAATACAAGACGGGTAGCTTGCCAGGCTTTGCCATGTGGGTGAGATACTCTCGGTAGCTTGCCGGGCTCTTCGAGAGGGGCGGAGAAATAGAACCTGGGTAAGGTAAATGCAAGGTAAATGCCCTACCCACTGAGCTATTATTTTAATTTAAAAGAACATTTTAAAGAAGTGCTTCTCCCAGGGACTGGACCAGGAGGACTGGTCAATTGTTGGAATCTACCACACTACCACAGTGTGTGGGGGATGTAGGGTAGGTAAGATAGAGGAGGAACCAATACAACAATAATAGCTGGAAATAATCATGCTGTACAAGAGCTAAGTAAGGGATATACATGATAATCTTTCAACACCTTTGTACAAGACACAATGCTGAGAGAGGGAGAGAGAGAAAGAGAGAGAGAGAGAGAGAGAGAGAGAGAGAGAGAGAGAGAGAGAAGAAAAGTGCCTTCCATAGAGGCAGGCTGGGTGAAGGAGGGGGGGTTATGGGAGGGGAGGGAAACTGGGGGCATTGGTTTGGTGCTGGGAAATGTGCCCTGGTGGTGTTGGAACACTGTATGACTGAAACCTAATCATGAACAGCTTTGTAAGAGTTTATCTTACAGTGATTCAATAAAAATAAATTTTAGAAGAAGTGCTTCTCATAGAAGCAGACTGGTGAGTGGGAGGTAAATGGGGGTTGAGAGGTATTGGTGGACAGAAGTGGACACTAGTGAAGGGATAAGTGTTGAAATATTGTATGCTTGAAAGTCAATCATAATTTTGTAATTTCATGGTGACTAAATTTTTTTAAAAATTATATTTTAAAGTTTTTTTTAAATCAAACATAAATGATGTGGTTGTACTTTGTTTTGTAAAATTGGATGGAATCTCAAGAAGGAGGAATAATTGAATCAAAGAAGTTCTTAAAGGAGCCCAGCTCTGATATAAAATTCCCCTTTAAAATGTAATTAAAATTTTAGTAGTGGCGAGGTGATGTCACCGTGGGATGCCAAGACTATAAATGTCAACACTATTATAAACACATTACCTTAACTATAGTAAAAATTTTAAGTTACCCTAAATAGTTACTCTAAAAAGTTGCAAGTCAGCCCTCTTTACAATAGCCAGAAACTGGAAGAAACATGAATGCCCAAGAACAGATGACTGGTTAAAGAAACTTTGGTACATCTACACAATGGAGTACTATGTAGCTCTTAGAAAAGATGAAGTCATGAAATTTACATACAAGTGGTACAATATGGAAAGTATCATGCTAAGCGAAATGAGTCAGAAAGAGAGGGATAGACATAGAAAGATTGCATTCATCTGGGGGATATAAAGTAACAAAGTATGAGATTAATACCCAAGAATAGCTGAGATCAGCACCAGGAGGATTACTCCATAACTTAGAGGCCAGTCTGGTATCCTAGAGGAAAGGGCTATTCAGATAGAGAAGGGAGCACCAAATAAAGGATGTTTGGAGGATCCTCCCAGGAGGGGAGATGCATGTCGAAAGTAGACTATGGACTGAACATGTTTGCCACTCAATGCCTCTTTTGCAGACCACAACACCCAAAAGGAGAGAGAGAACACAGGGGATTGCCCTGCCCCAGAGACGGGGGGATGGGGGGATGGGGGTGGGAGGGATATTATCCATGGTGGTGGAAAATGGGCACTGGTGGAGGGATGGGTATCTGATCATTGTATAATTGAAACCAAAGCACAAAAAATTGTAAACCTACAACTTTAAAAAAAATAAAATAAAATAAAGGGGAAAAAAAAAAAAAAAGTTGCAAGTAAAATATTCTTGAAAAGTATAAATAACACTGTTAGATTTTCTTGATGTTATACCCTCAGGCCATTTTTAAGATACTTTTCATTGCGCAATTCAATCATTTTACTTTTATTACCATTAGTGACAAGTGTAGTTTCTGGGGGGATTTATTTATTTGTTTCTTTGTTTGTTTATTTATTTGGTTTTTATTTGTTTATATTGAATCACTGTGAGATACAGTTACAGACTTTCACACTTTCTTTTTTTTTTCTTTTTTGGGTCACACCTGGTGGTGCACAGGAGTCACCCTGGTTCATGCACTCAGGAATTACCCCTGGTGGTGCTCAGGGGACCATATGGGGTGCTGGGAATCGAACCTGAGTCTGCTGTGTGCAAGGCAAATGCTCTACCTGCTGTGCTATTGCTCCTGCCACCAGACTTACACACTTTCATGATTATACTTCAGTCATACAACAATCAAGCACCCATCCCTCTACCAGTGCCCATTCTCCACCACCAATGTTCTCAAGTATCCCTCCCGCCACCCTCACCTCTTCCCACCCCTGCCTCTGTGGCAGGCACATTTCCTCCTTCTCTCTCTCTCTCTCTCTCTCTCTCTCTCTCTCTCTCTCTCTCTCTCTGTGTGTGTATGTGTTATGGTTTGCAATACAAGTACTAAGAGGCTATCGTATTTGGTTCATAGTCTACTTTCAGCACACGTCCCATCCCAAGCAATCCCTCCAGCCATCATTTACTTAGTGCTCCCTTCTCTATACCCTCTGCCTTTTCCTTCAGCATGCGAGGCTTGTTTCCAAGTCGTGGTGCAATCCTCCTGGCTCTGTCTCTACTGTCCTTGGGTATTAGTCTCCTATTACGTTACTTTATATTCCACAAATAAGTGCAGTCATTCTGTGTCTGTCCCTCTCTTTCTGACTAATTTCACTTAGCATGATAGTTTCCATGTCCATCCACTTATATGCAAATTTCATGATTTTATCTTTTCTAACAGCTATATAGTATTCCATTGTGTAGATGTACCAATGTTTCTTTAATCAGTCATCTGTTCTCAGGCACTCGGGTTGTTCTGTCTATTGATTCAGTGCTGCAATGAACGTACAGATGCAGGTGTCATTTCTACTGTGCTTTTTTGTACCCTCAGGATATATTCCCAGAAGTGGTATTGCTGGGTCATATAGAAGCTTAATTTCTAGTTTTTGGAGTAATGTCCGTATTGTTTTCCAAAAAGGTTGGACCAGTCAGCATTCCCACCAACAATGAATGAAAGTCCCTTTCTCTGGGTGGGGGCGGGGGGGTGATTTTTGCTTTAAAGAAGCATGTCTGTTTAGTCACATAGTGGAAAGGCAAGTTGTACAGGAAGATGCCTTTCTTGGTGTAGACCCTGGGCTGTCTGCCAGATGATAGTCTTTCTGCCCATCCTTCCATACCAACAGGTACTGTATTCCATCTTGGACCTTATGACAAACCATTGCATGTTCTGTAACTGGAAGATCTGCAATTGGTTGAAAACACTCAAGTAAATCCTACTAATGCTAAATGTTCACTACAATAGTAAGGAGAATTGGATGAATGTCCGGAGCTCTGCCTTACCCTAAAAAAACAGGAATTTAGAGGCAACAGAGGGAACAGTGTATAATACTGAGCAGTGTAACAGTGTATACGACTATCATTAACTTGAAATGAACTGCAGAGAGAATGCTTTCTGGTTTGCAGTATGCAGAGGCTTCCTATGGCAATAGAGCAACCTTGTTTACAGATTAAAGGGATGTTTTCTAGTCCCGAGCAAAAGCACTTTCCTACATTGTCACGGCCTTTTATCTCCATACTCCATACTCCAGTCTGCCTGAAAAATATCCTCCTGGGCCCTTACTCTCATCAGTCATGAGAGCTACCACTCAACTCCCTTTAAAGATGATTCTCAGTGAAAAAGCTGCTAACGAGCTAAATGAATGTAGCTGGAACACTGGGACAAGCTGGACAGTGTCGAGTTTTAGGAAATGGAAGCTCTAAGCAAGTCATCTTTCTCATTTAGCTTTTTGCTCTGACAGTAAATGAATGTTCTGCTCGAATTTCAAACCACCCTTATGTTCGCTGGCCCTAAATGTCAGGGAATTTTTGTCCTAAGATTTCTAAATCTTCTCCTCTTCTCACTGAGTATTATAGACTAAATTGTGCTCTCTAAAATTTATCTGCAAGAAGCATAGCCCCGGAACCTCAGAATGGGTCGGTTTGAAGACAGAGTGACTCAGAGGGTAACTGAGCTGAACTACATACATGAGGGTCCTCATTCATATAACTGGATAAGGAGGATACTCAGACACCCACAGAGACACTGGAGTTCGCACACAGAGAGAAAAGTCTGTGTGAGTGCACAGTGAGAAGGGGTCCATCTGCAAGAAGAAGAAAGTCAACCCTAGCCACACCTTGATCTTGAACTCCCACCGTCCCAAATTTGGAAAAAAAATTTCTGCAGCCTGAGCACCATAGTCTATGACATTTATATGGCAGCTCACACAGACTAATACACTCAGGTTGGCTAATGTGTGTAGAGTGTTACAGGTACTTTGGGGTGGAACTTTCTATCTCTGACACTAGACAACTAAATGTAAAATTCCCTTTCCTCTGGTAGCCAGGATCTCTCAGTCACTCTTCTTGAACTTCCCGGTGTAGGTGGTGAAAATATGGGACTTTGAAACAGGAAGGTTGTCGTCTGAATTCATTGGGGCTCATGGCAATTCTGGAATCACCTGCCTGACCTTTGACTCCAGCGGAAGAAGGTGTGTGCCCTTCAGAATCCTCCAGCCCTGAGCAGCACAGGGAGCCTGGAGACGCCACCCTAACAGGAGTCTGTTTCCTAGGCTGGTCACTGGGGGCAGAGACGGCCGCCTGAAAATATGGAGCTACAACAACGGGCACTGTCTCCACACTCTGGAACACGGCAAGTCGATTCACTTCACTGGCATGAAATCATGAAGCAAGAATATGCGTGTGTAGCGATCACAAAGAAAATTTAATTAGCTAGCATCTAGGATGCACAGCGTAATCTGACATCCTTTTTCTCTGGCATTTCATTTCAACCAGACTTTGAAACTTCCATTTGGCAGGGATTACTCTCCAGAAATGTCTATTTGCCCAGCTACTCCTCATGCACTTTTTCATTGGAGGAGCTTTGGTTTTTGATGTTTCACATGCACAGGTTAATTGTTTAGCAGCTATTTATGCTACATGTGATCTCCAGCTAGTCTTGTTCCTAACGGCCCCTGTAACTGGATCCTCTTTACCACATCGCTTCCCCCTTTCCCTCTGGTGCTCACCAGTATGTGCTCATAATCCAGGGAGGGAGAGTTGGTGGTGGTTTTACTTAATTATTTTAAGTTTCAGATGTACCACTTTATATCTCAGCTTTGTATAAGCTACATTATGATCACTTTGGATGTTTTATTTTCCCCCAACACCGTACAATGCTCGGTTACCCATTTTACCAACACAATTTCCCTTTCTCTTTGGCTCTTACATTCTATTGTCATAGTTAAAGGGCTTGGGGCAGGGGTGTGTGTTGTTATTTTGGTTTTGAGCCACACCTAGCGATGCTCAGGGGTTGCCCCTGGCTCTACTCTTAGGATCACTCCTCGTGGGCTTGAGGGACCATATGGGATGCTAGGATTGAAGCCAGGTTGGCCACGAGCAAGACAATCAGTATCTGCTATATCACTGTTTCATATTTTTGTTTGTTTGATAGTTTTTTTGCTTTGATTATTTGCTTTGCTACCTCGTCTTTCTATTATGAATGAAATCATACAATATTTATCTTTGGCCGGAAGAGATAGGGGGTTAGGCCATACCCAGCAGTGTTCGGGTCTTACTCCTGGTTCTGTGCTTCATAGTCACTCCTGGCAGTGTTTGGGGAGCCATACACATTGCAAGGGATCGAAGTGGTGTTGACTTCATTATGCCTTACCCCCTGAACTATCTCTCTGATCCCAATATTTATCTTGCCTGATCTAATTTATTTAATTTAGCAAATTCCACTATATCCAGCCAAGATCTTGCTGCAGAGGACAAGATTCCGCCTCTTTCTGTTAGACATACCACATTTTCTTTATTCACTCATCCATTATTGTGTATTGTGTACACTAAGACAATAAAGGGAATTTTCCACAAGGAAATATAACAAAGAATTTCCAAGATCGTATCTATTTTTAGATTGTATCTATTTTGTATTATTTTTTGGCAGTTCCAGGGATGGAGCCAAGGGACACCTGTGTAGGCGCATGCTTGACCACTGAGCCACAATCTGTTTCCATAACTTAGCTATTGTGAGCAGGGACACAGTGATCACAGGCCCACATACATCTTCCCATAATAATGTTGTCATCTCCTTTAGATAAATATCTAAAGGTAGAATGCTTGATTCAGATGTATGTCACATGTCTTTATTCCTTTATTTCTTGGTATATATCGAGTTTCTTCCCTTTTTGGAGGGTGGCTTGGGCCACACCCAACAGAAAAGTTAATCCCAGATCTGTGCTTAGGATTTCCTCTTGGTGGTACTCAGGGGATCCTATGGTGGCAGGGATCAAACCCAGCCTTCTGCATATGCAAAGTGTGCTCAGCCCATGGAGTTCTTTCTGATCCCTGGTTTCTTTTTTTTTTTTTTTAATGTTTACCTTCTCTATATATTTTGAACATCTTCAGAGTAAAATGAAGGTTAAAAAACTAAAAGTTGGTCTCCTTTGTGCATTGCTATAATTTTATTTTCAAAATTGTCTACTATGTTCATTGCTATGTCAGTAGTAGATAATACTACAATTCTGGTCTGTAAAACTGTAAGGAATGGGGCTGTACAGTGGTTAAGGCACATGGCTAGCATGTGCTGACCAGGGTTAGATTTCTGGCACCATGTGGTCCCTAGAGCATCAGCAGGTACAGTACTGGAAACTCCATGAGCACTAGTAGGTATGATCCTGGGACCCCAGCATTGGGTATGGTGGTTCGGGTATCCCCAGCTTTGCCAAAACCAAGTAGCACCACAACTTTGGGTCCTAGCATTGACCTTCCAGGCTAGCTAAGAATTATAGGAGGGCTCCCCAGGCCTCCTGGGTATGCTTCCCCTAACCCTTAAAATAAAAACCTGAGGAAGAGGTAAATGTTCTTTAACTGCCAGCTAGTATCAATGAAGCCAAAGGAAACCTGACAAAAATCCCTTAAAGAAATGAGTGATATTTGGCCCCCTGCTTTTGACCTGCCTGTGTTCATTCATTCATGAATTTCCTCAGTGAAAGCCTGTCACTGTACAGGTCCCTGTCCCAAGAAGCGGAGCATCTTCTCATTGGTGCAAGGGCTGTACCAGGCTTTCAAGATACAGGGAAGTAACAAAGCTTCAATGCCATGAAAGATATCTAACGGTGTTCTGAAAATGAAAGTATTAATGTTTCACCCCATCATCAACTAGGTTAAATCAATCTGTATAAGCTTATTCTCAAGCACTGATATAGAGCATGCTTTATAAATTGATGATGTTAATATCTTTCTAGATGAAAAGCAATGTGAAGTTTGTGATTGTGTCTACCTGGAGGTGAATCAAAATAAGTGAGTGCTAGTCAGCTTGGTTATAAGAGGGACATCTTTTTTGATATAAGTCTGACCCAAAGAAGGACACTAAAACAATAAAAGGAATTTTCCACAAGGAAATGTGACAAAGAATTTCCAAGGACTCCTCTATATTCCCTGATAGAAACTTAACTGGGCTCTGCCTGAGCAGCTGGAAGAAATTCTCCGCGTACTTTGATAACTGTTTTGAGGCTGGTATTCTGCACTGCTGAGCCATTCAGCCCTGATCTTTCAAGCACATAAAACTGACCCTGGTTTATTAAATCACAGTTTACCTTGATCTTTATAAAAAATTTTTTGAACAAATGAAAAAAGTTCTTTCCTCACTCTCTTTATTTCATACTGACATGACAAAATTAGACCACAAATGGATTCATTGCAAAAATTAAACATACGATACTTATGGAAATATAATCTTGTATTATTGTTCTAGGTGTATCATAGCTGTTGGATGGGACCGAAGAATAAATGTGTATTTTGTAAGTTAAATATACAAAATGATATTTCAAGCCATCCTGACAATGGGTCTCTCTCTCTCTCTTCTCTCTCTCTCTCTCTCTCTCTCTCTCTCTCTCTCTCTCTCTCTCTCCCCCCCTCCCCAGCTGCAAAGGACCAGCGGTCCCAAGGATCAAATCCAAACTTTTTTTATGCAAAGTATGTGCTCCTGCCTTTTGAGCCACATTCCCAAGCCTGAACCGATGTTTCTTTGGCAGAAGAGACAGTCCTCCCAAGCAGTGCTCGGGAGCCCAGGGGTCGCCCTTGCTGATTCTTGACCTACCGACAAATGGTTGAGTACCAGGCCATGAGGATGCAGTGCTGCTCAGGAGCTGCAGGGTCTCGCCCACAGCCTTGCAGTGTCTCCAGGGCTACACCCAGTGATGTTGAAGAGTGGGGAGACAGGTGGTCAAACTGGGGGTGGGTGCATGCAAGATATATACCCTAACCCCTGCAAACCATCTACCCAGACCCCAAAAAGACACATTTGAAATTCTTTTACGCTTTGTTTTCTGGCACAGTCAGATCATGATGTATTCCTCCTCTTTTTATTTCATTTTTTTTCGGGGGGGGGGACACCCAGCGATGCTCAGGGCTTACTCCTGGCTCTTCACTCAGATATCACTCCTGGTGGTGCTCAGGGAACCATGTGGGATACCAACGTTCAAACCCAAGTTTGTCGCGTACAAGGCAAACATCCTACCCACTATGCTATTGCTCCAGCCCCACTCCTTCTCCACCTTTCCTTGCCCCTTTCCTTTGAAAAAAAAAAACATTCCTTTGACTGAGCTTGTTTCCATTCCTTTCCTCTAGTTTTCTTTCATGGGAAGAAGTGCTGGCTAGAAAATCCTTGGGTGCAAAGAGGACAACGTCTCTGGGATCTGTTGGCAGCTATCAGTCTTGCCAGGTTTCCCCAGTCTTGGACTCCGTTCTGCAGCATGCAGGGGCTCAGGCTACATTTCCTGTGCACTCACCCCTATTGGAAATTCAACCAGCCGTGCATTATCTGTCCACTCCCTTAGCTGCTTAGCTGCTGCTACTGTTGCTTTCTCTTCATCATCATCTTCTTCTTCTTCTTCTTCTTCTTCTTCTTCTTCTTCTTCTTCTTCTTCTTCTTCTTCTTCTTCTTCTTCTTCTTCTTCTTCTTCTGCTGCTGCTGCTGCTGCTGCTGTTGCTGCTGCTGCTGCTTCTTCTGCTTCTTCTCCTTCTCCTTCTTCTTTCTTTCTTCTTCTTTTTCTTCTCCTTCTTCTTTCTTCTTCTTCTTCTTCTCCTCCTCTCTTCCTCTTTCTCCTCTCCTTTTCCTCCTCCTCCTCCACCTCCTCCTCCCCCTCCTCCTCCTCCTCCTCCTCCCCCTCCTCCTCCTCCTTCTTCTTCTTCTTCTTCCTCCTCCTCCTCCTCCTCCTCCTCCTCCTCCTCCTCCTCCTCCTCCTTCTTCTTCTTCTTCTTCTTCTTCTTCTTCTTCTTCTTCTTCTTCTTCTTCTTCTTCTTCTTCTTCTTCTTCTTCTTCTTCTCCTCCTCCTCCTCCTCCTGCTGCTCCTCCTCCTTTTTCTTCTTTTTCTTTTATTATTTCTTCTTCTTTCCTTTTTCTCTTTCTCCTCCTCCTCCTCCTCATCCTCCTCCTCCTTTGCCTTTTGAGCCACACCTGGCAGTGTTTAAGGGTTACTCTTGGCAGTGTTCAGGGGTTATTCCTGGCTCTGTACTTAGGACTTACTCCTTGAGGTCCTTGGGGGAACGATATGGGATGTCAGAGATCAAACCCAGGTCAGCTGCATTCAAGGAAAGGTTCCTACCTGCTGTACAATATCACTCCAGAGAGACCCTTCCTTAATTGCATCTGTCTCCTACCACCTTGCTTTAATGCCTGTTTCCCTCTAGCTAGAAAAGGAAGAAGGAATGATATGCACATATAGCATTTCTAGCAAAAGAAAACTCTTCCTTTATGGCTTAGAGATGCAGAATTGAGGTTGCAAGAGGGGGCAGACTGAAAATGCTGGCTAAGGCAAGATTTTAAATCTACTTGTGGCATTTGATTTTCCCTGCTGGCTGTACTGCACGCACTCAGATTTCCGAAAGCCTTTAGACATCAAAGGACTTTTTTTCATCCAAAAGGTGTGCTGTATCCCACAGCCTACGCCTTGCAGCTGCTGACGATCGGACAGACAACGACCAGGGACATCACAGCGTTAAATTTGTCCTTTGGTATCATGGGTTCCCAGGCTGATGGCTTTTGTTTGTCACGCGTGCCACAGCTCCGCGTCTTTTTTTATGAAGCAAAGCTCCGCAGACCATCCCCGGAGAGCTTGTCAGTTGACATATGATTTTCTGAAATGCAATCACCCAGACGTCAGGAAAGGATTGCTTTTTATTCCCACTGGCACTAGAGGAATTTGCTTTGACATTTCGAAAATCTACATCACTGGTGGGGTGAGGGAAGGGGTTATAAAATGTGCCAGCGCCTTTTCCTCTGAAGTTGCCAGTGTGTTGGCAGCTCATTTCACTGCTTGTCCCATCAGTGTCTTGGCTTTGGCTTTTCATGCAGGATGTGCCATGTGACTTTCATCACGTCTGGAAGCCGCAGCCACACTGGCAGGATGACCTGGTGAGGACCTACCTGTGTTCTGGCTTTGACCCCAAGCAGAGGAGGATTCCTTTCCCTGGTGAAGGCCCACTCTGTGTCCCATGACTTGTCTAGTTTTTCAAGCATCTCGGGAAGAAAAGGGAAAAAAAACCCTGTTATGGAAAATTTATGGTTAGGATCCAGATTGAGCGAGGCAGTTCCAGGGAGCCATTTCTGCTCCAGGAAGCCAGAGGGCCCATGTTCAGGCTAGGAGTTTGGGATCACTGGAGCAAACCCATGCAGCTTTGCATGACTCTAGCCAGGAATCCTGTGGTTAGGGGCAAAGCAGCCCAGTATGTGGTGGGTGTGACTTTCCTCCAAGAAACATCTGTTTCTACTGGCCTGTAAGCCCTGTGTGTTCAGGTGCCCACCTGGGAAAACTGGAGAGTTGCCAAAATGGGACTTTTCAGGGGCCCATAACCAGGAGACTTGTGATCTTGATGAGCACAAAAGAGCTCCTTCTATGTCTGTCCCTCTCTTTCTGACTCGTTTCACTTCACTCATTTGTGGAGTATAAAACAACATAACATGAAGCTGACTCCTAAGGAAAGTAGATACACGGGACAGGAAGATTGCTCCATAGTTGAAAACCTGCCTCATGAGTAAAGGGGAGAAGGCAGCTGGAATAGAGAAGGGATCACTAAGAAAATAATGGCTTGAGGAACCAGTTGGGATGGGAGATGTGGGCTGAAAGTAGATAAAGGATAAAAAAATGATAACCTCTCAGTGTCTGTATTGCAAACAATAATGCCCAAAAGTAGAGAGTATGGGGAATATTGTCTGCCATGGAGGCAGGGGGAGGGTGGGAAAGAGGGGGATATTGGTGGTAAGGAATGTGCACTGGTGGAGGGATGGGTGTTTGATCATTGTGTGAGTGTAACCCAAACATGAAAGCTTGTAGCTATCTCACAGTGATTCAATAAAATGAGAGAGAGAGGACACAATGTGCTGTGAGCTAAAAAAAAGGGGGGGCTCCTAACTTTCTACAGTGACAGGATTCAAAGACTGCCGAACATCATCTGGATGTCAGCCAGACCAGTCAAAGCAGAGCCGAGAATGAAAGATCACTCCTTGTGCCCAAGCCTCCTCATGCTCCTCTCCTCTCCCCTGCCTTAACGCCCCCTGTAAATACCCCACAAGGAGTAAAGCACTAGAACACAAGATCCACAAAGTCCTTGTCTGTCTGCATGGTGGTAGAACCAGACTCTATTGAGTTCAGTGTCTGAATGAATGATTTACCAATAACTGTTTTCATTGAGCCAATATTGGTCAAATGTCTAGTGTGAGCTAAATGCATGTTGGTCTTTGAAGATACAGTGATGAGCAAAAAGGTCCACATACAGACCCTGTCTTCATGGAAACTGCAAATTATTTTTGTTGCTACCACTGCTGTTGTTAATGTTGAATGACAGAACAAAGAAATAGGGGAAAACTTACTCCCAATCCTCTTTAAGCTTTTCCACGAAATTGAAATATCAAAAACACTTCCGAACAGTTTCTACGAAGCAAATATCACACTGATACCAAAAGCAGACAGAGATACCACAAAGAAAGAGAATTACAGGCCGATATCCCTGATGAACACAGATGCAAAGATCCTCAACAAACTACTAGCAAATAGAATCCAACTACTCATCAAAAAGATCATACACCATGACCAAGTAGGATTCATCCCAGGGATGCAAGGATGGTTTAACATTCGAAAATCAATCAACATAATCCATCATATCAACAAAAGAAAAGATAAAAAGCATATTATTATATCAATAGATGCAGAGAAAGCATTTGACACGATCCAGCACCCCTTTATGATGAAAACCCTAGCCAAAATGGGTATAGAGGGAACCTTCCTCAACATAATTAAATCCATCTACCACAAGCCTACAGCAAGCATCATCCTCAATGGGGAAAAACTGAGAGCCTTCCCTCTAAGATCAGGGACGAGACAGGGATGCCCACTATCTCCACTGCTGTTCAATATAGTACTGGAAGTACTTGCAATAGCGATTAGGCAAGAAAAAGATATTAAGGGCATTCAGGTAGGAAAGGAAGAAATCAAGCTCTCACTATTCGCAGATGATATGATACTCTACTTAGAGAACCCAATAACCTCCACCAAAAAACTCCTAGAAACAATAGACTAGTATAGTAAAGTTGCAGGCTATAAAATCAATACCCAAAAGTCCATGGCTTTCCTATACGCAAACAGTGAGAGAGAAGAAAGCAACATGAAAAAAACAATCCCGTTCACAATTGTGCCCCAGAAAATCAAGTACCTAGGAATCAGCTTAACTAAGGAAGTAAAGGACCTGTACAAAGAAAACTACAAAACGCTACTTCAGGAAATAAAAGAGGACATGAGGAAATGGAAAGATATCCCCTGCTCATGGGTCGGGAGACTTAACATTGTCAAAATGGCAATACTACCGAAAGCATTGTATAAATTCAATGCAATCCCTATAAGGATACCCATGACATTCTTCAAAGAAATGGAGCAAACACTCCTGAAATTTATATGGAACAATAAGCCCCCACGAATAGCTAAAGCAATTCTTGGGAAAAAGAAAATGGGAGGAATCAACCTCCCTAACTTCAAACTGTACTACAAAGCAGTAATAATTAAAACAGCATGGTACTGGAACAAAGGCAGAACTGCAGACCAATGGAACAGGGTTGAATACACTGACATCTCCCCTCAATCATATGATCATCTAATCTTTGATAAAGGTGCAAGTAATGTGAAGTGGAGTAAGGAACGCCTCTTTAATAAATTGTGTTGGCATCACTGAATGGCTACATGCAAAAAAAATAGGCTCAGAACTCTGCCTAACACCATGTACAAAAGTAAGATCAAAATGGATTAAAGACCTCAACATCAGACCAGAAACCATAAGGTACATTGAAGACAAAGTTGGCAAAACCCTCCGTGACATTGAAGCTAATGGTATCTTCAAAGATGCCACGCCACTGGCTGAGGAAGTGAAAACAGAGATAGATAAATGGGACTATCTTAAACTAAGAAGCTTCTGCACCTCCAAAGAAACAGTGACCAAAATACAAAGACCGTCTACAGAATGGGAAAGGATATTCGCTGAATACACATCTGACAAGGGGTTGATATCCAGGATATACAAAATACTGGTTAAACTCCACAAGAAGAAAACATCCAACCCCATCCAAAAATGGGGCAATGAAATGAACAGAAACTTTCTCAAAGAAGAAATCCGAATGGCAAAAAAGCACATGAGAAAATGCTCTACATCATTAATCATCAGGGAGATGCAGATCAAAACCACAATGAGATACCATCTCACACCTCAGAGACTGGCCCACATTCAAAAGAACAAAAGCAACTGATGCTGGCGGGGATGTGGCGAGAAAGGGACACTCCTTCACTGTTGTTGGGAATGTCGACTGGTTCAGCCCTTCTGGAAAACAGCATAGACGATTCTCAAAAAATTAGAAATTGAGCTCCCATTTGACCCAGCGATACCACTCCTGGGAATATATCCCAGAGAGGCAAAAAGGTATAGTCGAAGTGACATCTGCACTTGTTTGTTCATTGCAGCACTCTTTACAATAGCCAGACACTGGAAGAAACCTGAATGCCCAAGAACAGATGACTGGTTAAAGAAAATTTGGTACATCTACACAATGGAGTACTATGTAGCTGTTAGAAAAGATGAAGTTATGAAATTTACATACAAGTGGTACAATATGGAAAGTATCATGCTAAGGGAAATGAGTCAGAAAGAGAGGGATAGACATAGAAAAATTGCATTCATCTGGGGGATATAAAGCAACAAAATATGAGATTAATACCCAAGAATAGCTGAGATCAGCACCAGGAGCATTACTCCATAACTTAGAGGCCAGCCGGTTATCCTAGAGGAAAGGGCAGTTCAGATAGAGAAGGGAGCACCAAATAAAGGGTGTTTGGAGGATCCTCCCAGGAGGGGAGATGCATGTCGAAAGTAGACTATGGACTGAACATGTTTGCCACTCAATGCCTCTTTTGCAGACCACAATACCCCAAAGGAGAGAGAGAACACAGGGGATTGCCCTGCCACAGAGGCAGGGGGGATGGGAGGATGAGGTGGGGGGGGATATTATCCATGGTGGTGGAAAATGGGCACTGGTGGAGGGATGGGTATGTGATCATGGTATAATCGAAACCCAAGCACAAAAAATTGTAAATCTACAACTGTACCTCATGGTGTTTCACTAATAAAAATAAATAAATAAATAAATTTTAAAAAATAGGGGAAATGCCATGGCAATTGCAAGGGTAAGAAGTCATGGAACAATGAGATAATTCAATACTTCTAACACATTCAGAGTGACTTCCTTAACATCTATAGGCACAAAAGGGGAAAAAAAGCATGAGTAAAGTGTGATTCCTCTGGTCAGAGATGGTACAGAGTTTAAGGGACCTGCCTCGCATGTGAAGGGCCCTGGTTGATCCCCAGCATGGCATATGGTCCTTTGAGCCCTGCTAGGTATATTCCTGAGTGCAGGCATGAGTAAATTCCAAGGACCACTAAATGTGACCCCTAACACACACTCACCCCCAAAATATGATTTCCAGTCCAATATCTCACAAACTGTAAGTAGATAAACTGAGAAAATAATAATCATGCATATAGCAGGTGGCATAGTAATATGGAAAATTCTGGGAAAAGCCAGGTGGGAATCACTAATTATACTCTGACATCCCCTGGGGTGGTTGGGAAAGGCGATTGAGATGAGGGCAAAGGGAAATAGTGCAGTGTCGAATCCAGAAACTGAGGATTATGAAAAGGCTGAACAACTTGAGCATCAGGGTCAGAAAGAAAATGTGGAGACGCAATGTGGTTCAGAGGTAGAGCACTTGCCTAGCATCTGTGAGAACTGGGTTTGATCCCCAGGACTGGAGGTAAAAATCCACAGAAAAGAAATGGAGTTGGCAAGTTGTGTTAAAAGCTTGTAAGTCAGTGGAAGTCTGGCTTATAGACTCTGCAGGCAGTGGGGGATCACAGAAGAAAGGACACCACATAAGTGTATCACAAATAGCAGTAAGGGAGCCCTGAGTGATAGTATTGTAGGTAGGACACTTGCCTTGCACGTAACCAATCCACGTTCAATTCCCAGCAACCCATATGATTCCCACCAGGACTCATCCCTGATTGTAGAGCCAAGAGTAAGCCCTAAGTGCTGCTGGGTGTGGCCACCAAATAAAAACAAGACAAACAACCACAAATAGCAAGAGTAGAAGAAGAGGGAAGAGTAGAGGAACTTGAAGGTAGTTGGAAGGAGCTCTGTTGGCGTCTTCCACAGTCTACAATGCCACCTTCACTGCACCAGCCACTATCCTGACAGCCCCATCTAAGAAGGAGCATCTTACATGTCCATGGAGAGGTCCTCTGGGTGCACATTCTGGGAAGTATGTAAGGGCAAGGGAGAAAAGATGCTTTCACAGCCACAAGGAACCCAATCTCCTCACACCAACACTGCATGTCCAAGAGACGGTTGAAAGGGAAATGGCCGGTGCTGGTGTCTACAGTCCTGATCTTTCCACTCCCTTCTGCTTACTTACTCCCTTCTACTTACCCTCAAGTGGAGAGATGATCTCAATTCCTAAGAGCACTTGCGTGTCACAGTCTGGGTGGGAGAATGGGGAGTGGGGTGTAAGGCAAATACAAGTTCTGCAGGCACTAAGCGAAGGAATGCTAGGCTCTGTGATGCGGGTCAGGGCTATTGGGAAGACACATAGTCTTGGCCAGTGCTAGATTTCTTTGGCTGATTTCCACCCACGTTTCTTCCCATGTGGGGACTCCTTGTAGCTAACCTGCTCACCAGCACTATATGGAAACACGCTAGGTGCAACACTTCCCTGGGGCCTCAGAGGTGATAAATAGACCCAAGAGAATGCAGCACCACTCTGGCAGAGCTGACACAGATCTAATAGCATGTGGGGAGGGGGGCACCCAGGTCCTCTGGGTGGGGGCCCCCTAGTTCCAGATAAGCCCCCAATATGGGCCACTCAGGAAGGAAGATCCTCTTTCTCAGAGTTCAGGTAAAGGGAAGTTGACTGGGGCTTTGATATTTCTTGCTCTGTCCCCATCCCCATTCTTTCTCAGAACCAAGGACATAAGGAAGACATCCTCTGTGTGACTCAGTGCCCACCATTTCTTCTGGCCACTTCCAGTTATGATGGGGAGATCATCATTTGGAATGTCGTCTCTGGCCATGTGTACTGCAAATTGAATACCCCCAGCCCATCTGATGGTGCAGAAGAGGGAGAAGGTGGGTGACAGGCAGGTTCTATGGGCCCCCTATGCACAGCAGGCCTGGGTCCCAAGCCACATTGTTTCAAAGCATCTCAGTTCTGGACCACAGGTCTGTTCAAAGGGATAGGCCTGGCTTCAGGTTTAAGTGGTCAGAGGGAGATTCCTAAAACTGGAGGGAGTTTAACTGAGGGTCCATGCTTCAGTCCTGGGCATGGGTCCATCAAAGCTCATTTCACAGACCAGCCCACCAAAACCTTTTCCTCCGCCACCACCTACCTGTAGCAATAGCACAGCGGGTAGGGCACTTACCTCGCATGCAGCCGACCCAGGCTCGATGCCTCCGTCCCTCTCGGAGAGCCTGGCAAGCTACCGAGAGTATCCCGACTGCACAGCAAAGCTTGGCAAGCTCCCCTGTGGAGTATTCGATAGGCTAAAAACAATAACAAGTCTCACAATGGAGACGTTACTGGTGCCTGCTCAAGCAAATCGATGAACAATGGGAGGATGGTGCTATAGTGCTCCTACCTATCTGAGGACTCTCTCACACTTGAGCCCCTCATTAGTGAAGTTCTCCCAGTATCACTCTCATGACTCCACCTTCTATGGCATGCTCCTGGCATCATTCAACTCACCCTGCCCCCCAGTTTGGCACCTCCTCACGGGTACCCTCAGGCTTCATGCAACTGGCCCTCAGCACCCCACCTGGATGTGTCTCAAAACTTGTATTGCAAAACTTGTCCCTAAATTAAATTACTTGTGGATGGATGGACGCATGGATGACTGCACATATGCATTACTACTTCCATTTCTTCCACACTCTTTTTCTATTAGTGTGACCATGGGTTCATTTATTCACTTATTCATTCAGAAACTTTTGCATGTGGGTGCTCAACTTTTCCAGCATCATTTGTTGAAAAGACTGTGCTTGCCTATCAAGTGGTCTTAGCACCCTTGTTAAAAAAATCATTTAACCATACACTAGAAGAATTGTTTTGGATTCCTTATTTTCTCTTGCTGACTTGTGTATCCCTTTGTATGCCAAGGCCACACTGCTCTGATTATTGTAGCCTTGAAGTAAGTTTTGGGACCAGAAGTATGAGTCCTCTCATTTTGATTTTGTTTCTCAAAATTGTTTTCGATTTTTGGGGTCCCTTGAGATGCCATGTGAGTTTTAGGATGAGTTTTTCTATATCTACAAAAATCATCATTGGGATTTGTGAAGAGATTGCACAGTGACTGAACCTCTCTTTGGGTAGCGTTGACATTTTACAATATTAAGATTTCCAATCCATAAATATGGAATCTGTTTCATTTATGTATTTACATGTTTAATTTCTTTCAGTGATGTCTCATAGTTTTTCATTGCACAAATATTTTACCTCTTGAGTTAATTCCTGAGCATGTTGTTCTTTTAGATGCTATTCTAAATGGAGTTTGTTTTACAATTTCCTTTTCAATTCTTCCTATTGTTTGTTTGGGATAGAAACATTTTTCTGTGTTGACCTTTTCTCCTGCCACTTTGTTGAATTCATTTAGAAGTTCTGGGAGACAAAAGATTTTTCTTTTGGAGACCAAGAAAGTGATATATACTGTTTATTTAAAACAAAATATCACTTAACAAAAATTAATATAGAAATGTACATTTTATTTTTATTTTATTATTTTTTAGCTGACTCATCATGAGGTAGAACATCACAAGGCTGTTCATGATTGCATTTCAGCCATAGAAGTTATGTACATTTTAATAGCTATATAATTATATAGAAACACTCTACCATGGATCTTCTTCCAGCCCCGCTCGACCCACTTTTATAGGTGAGGAATCTGAGCTGAAGAGTTGAGGCACGACAGTTGAGTAGTGCCTCGTGTCGAGTATCTGTGCCAGATTCTTTAGGTCCCAACCTGCACACAGCCTGACTCACATGCCACTCACACAACATCTCACTGAGTCTCAATAGAACGTCCTGAAGTGGGAGGTAAAACCTCCACATCACAGATGGAGGAAAAGAGGCTGAGGGAAGTGGAATGCTCTCCAGAACACAAACATGAAAGTGGGGAGACAGACACTCAAATCCTTCCCCTGGATTTCAAGGCTTCTCCCAAGATAAATGTGGTCGGACTGGAGCCATAGCACAGTGGCTAGGGTGCTTGGCTTGTGTGTGACTAACCTGAGTTCAATTCCCCGCATCCCATGTGGTCCCCCAAGAACCGCCAGGAGTGATCCCTGAGCACAGCCAGGTGTGGCACCCAAACAAAAACAAAAACAGCAAAAACAACAAAAATGAATGTGTTAGGCAAAGTTGGGGTTTTCTTTGCTCAGCCTCTCCTTTTACTTTTCCCGACTTCACCCCTATTGTCAATCCCCAACCAAAGCCCACAGCCTGGGGGTAAAGGAGCCCACACACCAGGCATTGGGAAAGACACTGGGCTGAAGAAGGACCCAGAAAAGAGCCATAGCCCTATAGGTGATCCTCTGTGCAAACTCTGAGAATCTCCCACACCCCAGAGACAACCACAAAGCCCAATTTCAAGGGCAGCAGCTCTGGAAGCAAAACATACCTGGGCTGCAATGTCAACCCCTCTGAACATTAGATGTGTTGTCTTAGGTGGTACAACTCTTGCCAGACTCCCTCAGTACCAGCAGAGCCCGATGTCTGCCTTGCATTGCTGTGTCAATTAAAGGTGGTCCTGCTAACAACTGCTTGGCACAACATGACCACTGTGATTTTGAGGGCAGGGCCTAAGTCAGCTGTATACATTGTGGGTTTTGTAGGTGTGGAGTCCCATCAGGCCAAGTCCCCAGGACACAGCGGTGATAGACTCGGGAAACATCTCTGATCATTACTTCCAGCACTGAAGACCACCAATAGTGAGTCTTGCTAACATGACACCATTGGCTTTGCCTCTGGTATGGGCAATGGAGTCCAGAGCCCACAGACTCAGGGAGGATGAGTTAGAGCATCTAACCAGTAACATTATGTAGCTGGGGAAGTTTGCTTCTAAGTAGGCGTATACTAGGTTTTGTTGGTTTTTTTTGTTTGTTTGTTTCTTTGTTGGGCCACACCCTGCCATGCTCAGGGATTACTCCTGGCTATGTTTGGGGGACCATATAGGATACTGAGGATCAACCCAGAGCAGCTGCATGCAAGGTAAATACCTTACCTGCTATACTAGTAGGAAATACGTTAGTTCTCTCTACTAAGCAGTATAAGAGGGTTTCGATGTAAGTGATTAAAAGGAACAGTATGTGGGCCAGTATTGACAGTGCTGAAAATATAGCAGGAAGAGAGGAAGCAAGATGGAAAGAGTCACCATACTGGCTGGAGAGCTCAGCGGACTGGGTGCGACTGATTCCATCCCCGGCAACACATGATCCTGCGCACTGCAGCAGTGACCCTGAGCCTGGAGCAACCGCTGAACGCGGACCGAAACAAAAACAAAAAGACTAAGAGCCCTTAGCTGAGCTGTGACGATCAGGTGTCCTCTCTACCACTATCCACAGCCCTTCTCTGAACAAAGCCCATTTCTCTCTCTTTTTGTCAGGGTGGAGGTTGATGGGAGGAGGTTGATGCCACATCTGGCTGTGCCCAGGGCTTACCACACTTGACAGGGCATTTGCATGCTGGAGACCAAACTGGAACTGGCCATATTCAAGGCAAGCACTGTAATCCCTGTGCTATCTTCTGACCCTTGCCTGGTACTTTACTGTATTTATTTATTACAATGGGATGCTCCCCAGCAGTGCTCAGGGACTGGGGGATTCATGCTAGTTATACCTAACCTCACTGTGCTGTGATCCTACAGTCATCAGCCCAGAGGTGCTCAGTGGGAGCACAAGCAGAAGCAAGGGGGGCAAGAAGCAGGATCCAGTCCTGTGCACTCTCTGCTGCCCCCACCGGCCCTTCACCCCAGGGCCTTGCACTCCTGTGATCAATGCTCTTGCCTGCCGGGAGAATGAGGGGAAAGTGGGTGCAGTATGTGAGGCCCCGGCAGAAAATGTCCTTGGAGGACCCATGCGTCAAGGGTGCATGTTTTTCTTTTTTCTTTTCTTTTTCTTGAATTCAAAAAAATTGTCTTAAACATAGGAGTACTGCAACTTATTCAGCCGTTGATTAAGCTGATTGAACTGAGCATAAATTCCACATTACTTTTTTTAAAGAAAAATTTTAATTGGATATCCGTGAGATAGACTGTTACAAAGCTGTTCAGTATTGGGTTTCAGTCATACAATGATCTAGCACCCATCCCTCCACCAGTGGACATTTCCCACCACCAATGTCCCCTGTTTCCCCACCACCGTCCCCCACCAGCCCACCCCCCCACCCCCAATCTCCCTCTATGAGAGGCACTTTCCTTCTTGCTCTCTCTCTCTCCTTTTCCTTTTGTGCATTACGGTTTGCAATACAGGTTAATGTCCAGGGCATTCAGTATTTTTATCAGGACCATAAGGCTGGAGTAGCTTTTCAGTTGGGTGGCTGCTTTGGGATGTGGATGTGACTGCCGAGGCTTCTGAAAATACAGAGATGTGGGGGAAGGTAGCTCATCCTGACTCCGAGAAAGCCTGGAGATTTCAGTTACAAAACCTGCATACCAGAATTTTCAGCACATTATATCCTGGTAAGGTCCGTCCTGAGATGGTGGGGTCAAGCAAGGGGTATGGTGGCGATTTTGGATTGTGGAAGCAAGCGGCTGCTAGGAGTTCTGCTTGGCGGGCCACCAGGCCAACCCACCCTCCTCTGATTTACCCCCGGTCTGTTCAACCATGTGTGGGTATGAAATTAACTGCAGCTTTTGTTCTCTTTCAAGATTTATCTATGGGTCTCTGAAGTAAGGCCAATAAATGAGCTTCCATAGCTGAGCCAGAGGTGGTTTGTGGGCATGACTCCCACATACCTAACTTTTGGCTGCTTAATTTCTTGGTAAATTTGGTCCCAAGTTGTTGGGGTCCGGTCAAAGGCACAGTGGCAATTTGGGGGTGTCAGGAAGCCTGAAGGCATCACCAGGCTGTTGATGCACTTGCCCAGCAGGTAAAGGTTGACCTGCTGGCAACACCATACCCAATTTCTTTTTTCTTTTCTTAAAAATTTTGGCAATCACTTGAAGACAGAGATTGTTTGTTTGTTTGTTTGTTTGTTTATTTATAAGTCACTGGCTGGCATCAGTAGTTCACGGATCCTTGGAGGATGATACCTGTGCCTTGGGACCCTGTCAGACAATACTCCTCTGGGGATGATGATCTTGAATCCTGGGGTGGGGAGGGGGAGAGCAGTGGAGGCGGTGTGGGGTGGCTGCTCTTGATGCTTCTCCAAAAGACAGAGGAATCCTTGTGCTGACAAGCTCCAGGAGTGTCCTCAGAAGATCTGTTGTTTTCTGCCCTCATTCCCCACCCCCTTTCCCACCCAGAGATTTTTGGGCCACACCCTGCAGTGCTCAGGTCTTACTCCTGGCTCTGTGCTCAGAGACCACTCCTGGTAGGTTTGAGTGACCATATGAGGTGCTGAGCATCAAATCTGGGTTGATTCTGTGCAAGGCAAGTGCCCTGCCTGCTCTACTATCGCTCCAGCCCCCAACGAAAGAATTTATTATTATTAATTTTTAAACATTTAAAAAATTTAATTGGGGTACTGTGATTTACCATACTGTAAATGATGGTTTCCTGTGTACAAAATTCCAACACTGGAGCCCTCACCATGGTACTCACCTCCATCCCCCACGTTCCTTACACACACACACACACACACACACACACACACACACACAGTGTTTCGTGGCTCGGTTCCCCCATTGTTTCACTCTACAAAAACAACAAAATCCTGCAATTTGCCACCACATGGGCACATGTCTTGCACAGAAGGCCCTGAGTTCCACCCCAGAAACACAAGCACCTCCCCCAGCCCCCAGGATTGGTGAGTAGGGAGCTCTGGAGGTCCCTAAGCACCTGGGACCCCAGAGTACCACATCTTTGGTCTGAGCTCTGAAGACCCCTGTCTGTATAGCCATACACTCTGAGCATCACTCTAGTCCTCCCTCCCTAAAGCATGTAAACAAATGAATAAAAGTGTTTTCGGATCCTCTCCTTGGTTTCCAGGTCCTGACAGGAGCATTTCCTGCCTTGCCTTCTTAAAGACTCGGGCAGCCAAGTGTGACCGCAGTGCAGCTGCGGCTTCTCTGATGGCCAATGGGCCCCAAGGTAAAACTAGAGCCTCCCCTCGGCCCCTCTCTCCCCCATGACACAGAACCCACATTTCGTCACCCCCTTGATGAGGGGAGAGAAGGAGTTTGTTTAGAGTCTACAAAGTTGTGAAGATGGGAAACTTGTATCCCCTCAAGATCCATCTTCATCTCAGGTTGGGGCTGGGGTCTGAGGTCTAGTAGCCAACAGAGGAAGTGAGTTAGAGAAAGTCTAGGTGGTGGCAGTTCTGTCCCCAGGCCCTGGGGAATGGCGTCAGTGGTTCATGGATCCTTGGAGGAGGGTGTCTCTGTGCCTTGGAACACTAACAATCCTCTTTCAGGTGGGGGGTAAGGGGGGTGGGCACAATGACCTTGAAGTTATTGTGGATCATTATTGATGCATTCCCAAGGGACAGAGGAGTCCTTGGGCCTGGGCCCAGAAGTGTCCTTAGAGATTCTACTTTCCCTTTTCCATCTTCCACCCCTAACTGGGCCCTCCAGAGCATGAGAAAAAAATAGGATTGAGGAACAGGGCGAGCCCAAAGGTGATGAGTGGTTGTGAGACATGAGAGGAACGAGATGGAGTCTCTAAGGCTTACTTACTCTCAAGGCCCAGGCTGGGCTTTCACACAGTCCAGCCCAGCAGGGAGAGTCAGTTCCCTCTGCCTCTGAATCAAATCTCCCACCCTTACTCATGCCCCTCTGCAGGAGACTCAGTGTACTCAGTGTACAGATGGTCTAAGAGTGTGTTGCCCGACTCTACCAACGAGAAGGCCTTTGCCAACATGTGTGGGTAATTGTTACCTGTTAGAATGCACCAGGAAGAGGAGGTGTTTGCTGAAATTGGAGGCTTCAATGCCTTTCATGGAGACCCAAGATTTAACCCCACCCCACATCTAGTGTGTCCTCCTACCTCTCTACACAGGTTCCCTCACCTTCTGGAGACTGTCCAGTGGCACCTGTGCCCTTGCAGACTTCACTCCTGTAAGTTGGGCAGGCGGTGTGTTGAACCCTCCACATGTGTGAGAGGGCCAGGGAGAGGAGTGGGTTGACACTAGCCTGATAAAGTATCCCCACAGCTGTGCTGGGTAATAGGCTCTGGCCTTCTTTATCTAGATGGCTATGCTCCTTGGTTAGAAGATTAACACAGGCATGGTGACTAGTGCTTACTCTAAATGAGATAACAGCATTTCACTCACCATGAGCTAACAGGTAAGTTAGGTTTGAGTTCCTGACAGTGTGTGATTGTGTGTGTGTATGTGTGTGTTTGTATATGTGTGTGAGTGATAAGCCCTGGATATGTCTTTATAAAGAGTTTTTGTGTGCTTATATATGCATGTGTGCATGGGTGTATTTATATGTGTATGTGTGTGAGGTGGGCCCTGGGTTTGTCTTTGTAAAGGGTGCTGAGTTGGTGTTTGTCTTTGTAAAGAGCTGGTGTGCATGTGTGTGTGTGTATGTGTGTGTGTGTGTGTGTGTGTGAAAGATGGGCCCTGGGTGTGTCTTTGTAAAGACACACTTTGTAGTGTGTGTCCTTTATGTGTGTATGTGTGTGTGTGTGTGTGTGTGTGTGTGTGTGTTATTGGTCCTTGTGTATGTCTTTCAGTCTAAAAGCAAGGCCCGGGTCAGCAGCATTGTGGTGACAGCAGGAGACACACTGACTTTCGTGGCTGATCAGGATGGATTTGTGCACGTCTATGACATCCAGGATTACGGCCTGCGGGGTGTGGAACTTCAGCCTCCCAAGAGTAAGCAGAGAACTCTACTTTCACATTCTGATGAACACCAGCTATCTATTTAACTTTCCTATTCTGATGGGTTCAGTTCAATTGTACCTGTCAAAAGGGCACTTCTTTCTGGCCCTTGAAGAGCATGTTCACAAGGGCCAGAGAAATAGTCCAGTGGGCAGAGCACTTGCCTTGCTTGCATGTGGCTGCCCGGGAGTCAATGCTCAGCACTTCATATGGTTCCCAAGCATTGCCACGAGTGATTGCTAAGCACAGAGCTAAGAGTGTGTTCTGAGCACTACTTGATGTGACCTTTAAAAAAACACACACATTTGAGAAAAATGATTTTCATCAGTGTTGTTCATTGTTTAACAAAGAAACAGGAAGATGGGCTGATGGGCTTGCTTACACTCTTGGATAGAGGGGAAATTGGTGCTGTGGTGTGAATGCAGGTTAACAATATACAGCTAAAGCTTTGAACCAGCAAGTCATCTTCAAATTTGACTGAAAGAAATCATAAGCCTGAGCCCAAAGTATCATTGTAACGTTGTAAATGAATGCATGGTTTATGAGAAGAAAATAGAATCTGAATGCCTGCCATAAGGGGAATTGATTAAATAAATAATACACTGCAATATCATATAGTGATTTGATAATGACACTATATTAAAGTTTATTCACAAGAGAAATATGATAAAAATGATTAAACTAAAAATCCAGCCAACCAAACAAGGTCATAGTGTGAATATATTTCTGTAAAGCAAAGTAGTTGAAAGATTGACAGTCTGAAAAGTTTTGCATGGGATTTGAACAACATTTTCTGTGTAGAATATTGTGAAGCATTTATTTTCTCTTTTAAAACTTCTGTTTCTAACTTTTCTGCACACATAATGCTATAGTAATAACAAAGATATAATTAAAATGCTAAGACTTTATAATATTGATATGAAAAGTACTCATGTTTAGAAAAAAATCAATCAGCACTAATAAAGGATAAAGAGTAACTTTCTGATTTGATCCCCAGCCTTCTGTATGGTCTCCCAAGCCTCTCCAGGAGTGACCCCTGAGTCCAGAGCCAGGTTTAACCCCTGAGCATCACCAGGTGCTCCTGCCCTCACAACAAAGCAGCAATTTCTCTGACCTCCTCGACCACCTAACTTCCTGTTTCTGAGACCTAGTAATACTAGTAATACATTTTAGTGTCCTTCTAGAAAGTTTCCATATATTGTGCATAAGTAATCTATATGTGCATATATGTACATAAACACACTCCATAATTTCCAAGTCTTGTTTTCCTAAATATCCATATTTAGTATGTTTAGTTCTATTTGGCATATTTTAATGACTAAAATTTCATAAAGCACAATTTTTCAAAGGTCATTTATAGGTACATCTGCACATACTCCCCTTTAGTAACCTGTTCTGTCCTACCACAGAAGTTTAAAGGCTCATTTTAGAGGAATCTGAATTTGGAAGTAGGAGTGATATGCCCTGCATTAGTCTTTACTGAAGGCACTGAAAAGTATAGGCTATTTTTTTTTCTTTTTTTGTAGGAGTACTGCTATTTATTCAGCCACTGATTAAGTATAGACTATTTTTAAAAGCACTTTTTACTGGGGTCAGACTGATAGAATGTTGTGATGAATAATATGCAGAAATGCAGAGAGGGCATTTGCCTTGCATGCATCCAACCCAGGTTGATCCATAGCACCCCATATGGTTCTCCGAGCACCACCAAAAATGATCCCTGGTGTAAAGTAGAAGGCAACCAATGTTGATTAAAAATATATATAAGTATACACACACACACACGGACACACACACACAAAGTGATCCCTGAGCACAAAGTCAGGAGTGAGTCCTGTCTGCTAAGAACTGCTAAGTATGGCCCAAAAATAAAAACAAATAGACAAATAAGAATTTTTTATTATTTACCAACTCTTGCATGCTAATAAACTCTGAAGGAGGTATAGTGGCAGCACCATTCACGCGTCCCAGTTACTGTCCATACCTGACACAAACTTTCACCTGTGATTGGTGCTTCATGAAGGTCAGTAAACTGATGTGGAAGGTCAGAGATTTGCAAGACCTTTCCCCACTGGACAGACATTTAGCCTGCCTGGCCCTGTCCTGTAGGATCCAGCATCAGCACTATGGTGGTGTGCATGCCATCACAGGCACTGATGCATTCTCTCCTTTGATCTAGATGTGACTTTCTGGCGCTCCCATACCACCACAGTGACCAGGTGAGTACCACTCGTTTTAGAATTCAAGACTAAGAGAACTGTGACACTGTTCACCTTTAATCAAACCAATCCTCCCAAAAGCCTTCTGGATGAGTCAAGAGGAAGTGTTACAATTCTGCACTTGCTGGGAAAGGAAAGAATTCAGTTTCCATTGCTTGTACAGAATAAAGAGATGGAATGCTTTTGTTTTTCTTGGAAGAGGATGGTATTTTCCTCAAATTGGTCCCATTCTTGGGGTGTGTTGGGAAGCTTGGTAAGTTCATCATGGTTTGCAACTGGAATCACAATGTGCCATTACTTAGGGCAGCACCTGAAGTTGCACCAGATGGGTCTTTTTTTTCAACCTCTCAATCTTTTTTTCTAACCCATCATCCATCCATAAGATAATTTTCAGCATATCTTGTTTGATGTCTTGGGGCTAGACTGGAGAACTTGGAGGAAGTGTGGGGTGAAAACTTAGAGGAGGAGGAGAGTGCCAGGAACAATTCAGGCACCTTGCTTGGCTCTACATCCCATTTTAATTAGCGGGGTATGGCCGAACTAAGACAGTGTCCCTTCCATGCCAGCGTCACCTCTCTCTTCTCCCCTCCCATTTTATGTTCTTAGTTTGGAGCTGATAGAGGAGAAGTTTCTGCTGTCCGCCTCCCTGGACCACACTGTCCGCCTGTGGAGCATGGCTGGGGACTACATAGGTGAGGACCCCCTCAGGCCCACAGCAGGGGCTTCTGATGTGCCGCCACTGAATGGAGAATTAATTCTTTGCAGTAAAGTGTCTCGTTCTGCTCAGGATGATGTCACAGAATGCCAGGGACTGGGCGGCATTAACAATAGAGCTGTACCTCAGCTCTGAGAGGAGGGTCAGCACTCTTCCTGGTCTCAGACAGCTGCCTCACATGATAGAGGGAAACAGAGAGACAGACAGACACTCTGGTGTCCCTTCCGACAGGAAATCTATTTTCCTACTTCCACGAGGGTCTTGTCTCTGATTACAGACCCGTGTGGGGTGGAGCTTCAACATAGGACGAAAGAAGGTGAGATTCGATAGCGCCTTCATGTTATCTGACTGTAACAAAATTAGCAAAGTGAAGAGCATTTAATTTGGAAAGAGAACATAACTCAACTGAAAGCAGAGAGTTTGCTCAGGGAATGTATGATCACAGGATCATGTCTTGGAGGATCAACTCAGGCCTGGGCTAGAGGAGATGCTTAGTGAAGAAAGACCAGTCAGCACGGGTTATAGTGGTGGGATGAGCCCACTGCATTGCTCAGAAAGCCTGGGTGCCTGCATCAACAGTTTCTCTCTTCCACTAGTTGATACTTCAATTTAATTTATCCTGAAAGGTTTTAGTTTATAACTGAGTAACGTATTCAGCAATGTTATGAACTCATGCAGAGCCAACTGCCATGAAATCTTTTCTTCTTTTTCTTTTCACCTCTCTTCTCTTATATATTCCTTTTCCTTTCCTTCTTTCCTTCCTTCCTTCTCCCATCATCCCTCCTTTCTATCCTCCCTTCCTTCCTCCCTCCCTCCCATCCTTGTCTCTCTCGCTCTCTTTTCACTCTCTCTTTCTCTCTCTCTTCCTTCCTACTTCCTTCCTTCCTTCTTTCTGTGCTGGGGATCAAACCTCACACTTGCTAGGCAGATGCCCTACCTCTGAACCACACCCCTTACCCTGGAATTGTTTCAGACATAACTTCATAAGCAGAGCTAAATCTGATTGTGCTGACCTAGAAAAGACTCTGGAATCCTAATCTTAGCTACAGGCTCTTGCTCTGATCAGAAGAAAGGTTATTTCCATCCTACGTTTATTGTTTATTGGTGTGTCTCTCTTCTTCCAGGGACCTTCGGGCAGAGTGACCCCTGGGATATCTTCACCCCTGATTCCTGGAGCCATCCCAGAGTGCCCTCTGAAATTCTGACAGGAGTTCAGAGCAAGCCTATTGAGCCAGCACTGGAAGGGCAGGTTTCTGCTGTGTGCACAGGAAAGGAGGAGAGAGGAAAGGTAGTACAGGGAAAATCCAGGGCTCATGGGGGTGTGCAAGCATCCAATTCATCCCTACCAATGTGGAGCTTCCAAGCAGATCAGGTTTGAATACAAACTATCACCTGGAATGAGTCGAGGCATGAACCTGAAAACCAGGTCAACGTGACTGGGTAGTGGGTGGCGGCAGGAGGAGTAAACGGTGGGGGCCAGGATCTGTGAGAGGGATGGATCTCATCACCCAAAGTCATTTGACTTTCTCCTTTTGACCAACTAAAAAAAGCTGTTGACTGTTGATGACCTCAGAACAAAAAAGACAGCCCTAAGCTCAATGCAGGTGTCACATTCAGGAGAGACACACAGTGAATGCTCATCCCACAGTGTACACTCACTGCCAAAAACTACACTGACAAGCCAGGCTTCCTTTCGACATGCGCAGCGGAGGAACGATAGGTTTCATGCCCGGGTCTGTGAAAGTTCAAGTCAGAGCGGAGATTCTGAGAAGGCCTTGGTCGATGCAACCTTGATTTAGAGCTCGGTAAAAGATATGGATTTCCAAGAAGTGCTTGCCCTTTAATAAATTGAAAAGAAGGTCATTTCATGAGCTATTGCTCGCTGGCTACGTTACAACTCCAAAAGCAAGACACCTGCTCTGCGGGCGAAATAATGCGCCTGAGCTTTTTCTCTGGCAGTCTCCTGGAATACTGATCACATGCACAACCTCGCCCCCAACTTCTGGGCGGAGAACCACACGTGTTCAGAGAGGGAACAAAGGAGTGGGCAGGCACAGAGGATGCGAAGCCTCTGTCCTGTTGGAGGCCCCTCGCACTCACGTGCGCTCTCCTAAGTGCTGCCAAGGTTACGAGGAGGTGCTCTGAGACGCTTGGGACATGCAGAACAAATCTCCCAGCCTATGGAGAGAATATATAATCATTTCCATGTGCATTTGACATGGTGGAAATAAATGAGCTCATTAATTTTGAAAGGCCCATAATATGGAAAACAAAAGCCCAGGAGATGGGGAGGAAGGAAAAGGGCCCACGGGGGAATGTGCTGCCTGCACGTGCTCATTGAGGGAAGTCAGATGGCAGGTTCATTTGTGGGAAGGAAGGAGCAGGAGCTGGAAGCTGGAAACCAGGAGAAGGTAGAAATAAGAGGATGGGAGCTGGAGAGAAGAGGGGGGAAGACATGGGGGGAAAGGGAGAGTGATGGAGAGGGAGATAGAAGGGGAAGGAAAGAGGGACCAAAGAGATAGTACAACAGGTAGGGCACTGTCCTTGCACATGGCCAGCCCAGGTTTAATCCCTAGCACCCCACATGGTCCCCTCAAGCACCACCAGGAGTGCTCCCTGAATGCAGAGCCAGGAGTAAGTTCTAAGCATCACCAGGTGAGAAACACACACACACACACACACACACACACACACACACACACACACACACACCAAAGGAGAATGGAAGAGGGAGAGGAGCGGAAGGGAGACCATGAGACAGGAGGAGAAGGGGAGAGAGAGAAGGAAGAGGAAAGAGACAGGAAGAGAGAGGAAGGATGAAGATGAGGGGAAAGAGGAAGGGACGAGAAAGAAAGGAGGATGAATAGGAGAGGAAGGGTAGTCAATTCAACAAAAGCAGAATACATGCGCTTCCATGAGCTTTGCTGTTCTGGGCTGAAGGAGGGCGAGGCAATTAGGCTTCAGAGACACAGCCTACTGTGCAAGGAAACCATTCGGTGTTTCTGCATTTGCTGTTCTGTCCAATTTGACAGCAAGTTACTTGGGAAACAGTCGAAATTATTTCTAGTGTGCACACACACACAAACACACACAAACACACACCTGAGCTTTTGTGGAGAGCATGTATCTGAGCCACTTGTGAGCATCCCACTGGAAAATCACACATGAAGGGGGGGTTGTAGTTCAGTCTGTGACTTAGGGCTCCCCACATCCTCCTCTCAAGCTCCGCCTCATTAGGTGGGTGACCTCTGCCCATCTAGGAAATGAGGCATGAGGATTGGATGCTCCTGACATTTCATACCTGGCCTGAGAATGCAGATTCCTCTGAATGTCAATCTTGCCAAACTGAGCCTGCTGCTTGGATTGGATTCTTCCAGGATAAGGGTATCAGACACAATCACCACTGAACTCAGGGGCCACCCAGCAGAAAATCTGTCTCCTGGAAAACACTGTTGAGGTGCTGCTCATTTCAAAATTGAGGAAAAGCTCAGGGGGTGGGGGCAGGGGTTGTCTTCATGTCTGACAGATTCAGTCAGCCTGGATCTCTTGCCAACACAGAAACTCCATTTGACTGACAGTGATCCGGGTTCCCTGTCATCAGTGTGGCTGGAGATCCCATTTCCCACCATCCCCTTCCGCTTTCAGCCTGAGAAGATCTCAAACCCTCCAGGAGATGCCCTGGCCACAGCAGAAGCTGAAAGGAGAGAAGACCCACACCCATACCGCTGGCCCGCACTGGGCAGTAGCAGGTCAGTTGAAAAGAAGCACCCAGACTAGGCTGGCGTGATAGGACAGCGGGTAGGGTGTTTGCTCCGTAGGTGGCCAACCCGGTTTCATCCCCAGCATCCTACATGTTGCCCCAAGCACCACCAGGAGTGATTCCTGAATGCAGATCCAGGAGTAGCCCCTGGATGTGGTCCAAAAACCAAAACAACAAGAATAACAAAAAAGAAAACACCCAGTTTGGGGTGGGGTCTTTCCTGGAATAAGGCAGTCTTTCCCTAGGCCACTCTGTCACCTGCAGAATCCCCTATCCCAACCAGTGAGTATAAGCAAGTCCCAGATCAAACCTCACCAGTTTAATCTACCCACACGACCCAGGATGCCTTAAGGCATCCCACCCCCTGATCTTCATATGTGGGGGCCTCTCTGGTTCTGTGCCTCCACCTTCATGGCAGATGAAGCTGTCCCAAGGCTCATTGGGGTGGGTGGCCCAGCTGTTCTCTACAGGAGCCCTGTGCAGTAACTCCAACTCCCAAGGGGCTGTGGGGGCCAGACTGTAGAAGTCCCAGGAACAGGAAAACCTGGGGGCTATGCATCCCCCAGTCTCTTCACACCAGACTTGATTGGATTCTGCAGGAAGTGTGATGAAGGCAGGTGAGTGACATCCCTGTCAGGGCTCCTGAGGACCCTGTCCTCATGACAGCCTTCTTGGGTCTTCATCAAGAGGCCCAAGGAACAGTGCTTGCACGTTCTCTGCTGTTCCCCTCCTCATGGGCATTAGGGTTGAGCCACAGGGCCAGCAGAGAGATGCATCACCCCAATCTTCCCTTGTCTCTTGGTGTAGCTACTTTCTGTCCACCAAGGGTCACAAAGCTCTGTCGGGTATCTGCTTCCCTATCTGAGTCCCGGATTCTCGATTCGTGGTCACTTTATGGTATACACAGCTGCTTATGGTACACACAGCTGCATGCACACCACACGCCCGCAGCACAAAGAAACAGAAATGAAGGTGAGGCCCTTGCAGCCAGACCAGCTCCTGCGATGGAATAGAGGTCTTGCACAGTTCTGCTTAGTACCAGAGCCGCCCCCAGCTTCAAGAAAAGCTGAGGGTTGTGCAGCTAAAGAGGGAGGAAGCATGGGGGGGAGGTGATAACAAGCGATCCCTGACCAAGTAAGTCAGAGTAAAATGCTTGAGATGGTGTCAGGATCAGAGGGTATCACACAGAGAAACACCATCCATCCTGTGTGGGTCATGCCAGGAAATACCATACAGAGCTCGGCTCAGGAGAACCGTGAGCTTCTTCAAAGCTGACACAACTTTGATGATGATCACAGAGCTGTCTTGGAAAAGAATGACCTGTTAAATGTTCAAATCTTTTAAACTTCCTGTCTGGGGGCCAAAGAGATAGTTCAATGGACAAATGTATGCTCTGTATTCAGGAGGCTTAGGTGTGAGATCTGGTGTGACAGCCCCCCCCCCCCCCAAAACACAGGACCATGAGCACACTTTATTTCTTTCCATTTTGCACCAGAGAGATAGATAATATAGTGTTTTTGGTGCTTGCCTCGCATGTGGCAGATATTGGTTCAATTCTTGGCACCATGAAAGATCCCCTGAACACCACCAAGAGCAAACCCTGAGTACACAGCCAGGAATAGCCCCTGAGTACCAACAAGTGTAGCCAGCCCCTCCGCCCCCCAAATACCCACCCCCTCCAAGTAAAATATATCAAACCCCCTGCTCACATGCCTAGAGATCACGTAGGTGCTCCTTTAATCCAAAGAGATGGTGAATGTGGCAAGTGGGGGTGTGAGAGACAGGAGGGGGTGGCCTCTCCATCCCCAGGTCTTTGAGGGCCGTGCCCTCAGCCTCTTCTGCATCTCCCTTTCGTCAGCTCTCACGGGCCTCTTGCGGGGACTTGCTGTTCTCCTCAGGCTCACCTGCTAAACACTTGGACTTGGCCACTCAGACACACACATTCACTGCCTGCAGTTTGGGCGGCCTACCAGATTCTGGACAAGGGCCTGCCACCAGGCTGGGGGTTGAGGTGGGAGGTGGGGTTTTCTCTGTCCTGACAGTGTAAAGAGATAATGATTTTCAAATAAGCAAGCTCCCAAACTTTTTTGGCCTAGTGCCCCCTTATAGGGGGAAAAATAAATCACTCTGCAGCACCGCTGGAAACATACCTTTATCCCTCTCTAATATTTCTTTTCTTTCAAAATTAAAAAAAATAACTATACAATATGGTTTACAAAAATGTTATTGTAGGATTTCATACATAAAATGTTCCAGCTTCACATCCTCCACCAGAAGGTTCACCTCCCCCCACCACTGTCATTTCCCAACCCCCCAGCCCCTCCCCACCCCCGCAGGAAGCCTCCTACTGAAGACCAGTTCTCAGTTCCTGTTGCCTTCAGGGGTCTGATATTTATTTGTTGTGTTTCTTTGTAACTTGTATGTGAGAGAGATGATCCTGTATCTGTCCCTTTGCTGACTTCATTCCACATGATACCCGCCAGATCCATCCACGTAGAAGCAAAGCCTCTCACCTTAGCCCTCAGGCCCCCACCCTCCTGTCCTCATTGACCCTGATAACCCCCTAAAGGCTCCACCTTCAAATACCAACCCAGGGGCTGTAGGACCCCAACACTTGAGTTTGGGGGATGCAAGGGATGCAATCTAATCCATAAAGCTGAAATTGCCGGGGGATGGGGGGTGGGCTGTAAGGGAGGAACAGGCTTTCCCACAGCCTAGGCAAGACCCCCTTGGGCAGAAGGAGGCCGGCCTGGAGAGAGGAGGGTGTGCGCATGTGCGCACATGCCTGCATCTACCTGGTCACCCAAGGAAGCGGTAGAGGTGACAGGAGCTCTGAACTGGCCTGGATTCTCCACCTCCCCTTTGACAGAATGAGGGAACTGTGACATGAGAGACGTGACTCAGGAGGAGAGAGGCGAAAGGACAGCTGCTTAGCAGAGCCCCTCAACACCAGTGGTCATTGACTTAATTACAAAATTTATGCATTTCATAAGACAGAGAAATTCTAAAATCATGTGTACATTCTATTAACAACTTCTTTCAGCTTGCAACAGTCAAATCTACTTTCATCCCCTAATCTTTTGGTGGAGGGTTAAAGCTTTATCTTCAAGTAAGAGACAAGCTGGAACACTTTTCTTCCAAAAAGAATTATCTATGAATTTCAGTTTCTGTTTTTTTTTTTTTTGGAGGGTGTGTGTCTTGTGGGGAACACCCAGCATTGCTGGAGAGGAACATATGGTGGCAGAAATGGAACCCAGGGCTCGTGCACGCAAACACTTATTCCAAGCCTTGGAGCTCTTCCCCACCTCCTGCCTTTTCTGTTGAAGTAGAGCAAACCCTGAGAGACGTTTGAAAAGCGAAGTGACTGCAGTCACCTTCTGGAATCGCCAACGGGCCCCCCACACTCTGACAGTTGTCTCTTTGATTCCAACCCACCATATCTAGTTCTTTTCAGGTCTTCCTCTTAGTTTTCATAGGTTTGTTTCACACTGATTTCCTCCATTTTAGTTGACTTTCAATAATTAGAAAACAACAATAAAATGTGCAGGTGGCACAGGGGTGTGGGAACACACAGAAGGTTCTCAACCCCCTCGGCTGTTGGAAGCCTGTAGTTATCTACTGGTACAAACACTTAGAGGGGCTCAGCAGGGTGCTTGTGGGGTACCGGACTCGGGGGAACTGTGAGCAACAAGGATTGGCTAGAAATTATGTCAGCCTCTCTCGGGACAGCAAGTCTGAAAACAGGGAGGGCATGTGCAAGGGAGGAAGGCGATGAGTGTATGATCACTCACCCACATGCATTCTGCAGGCAACCTCACCCACATGGTGTGGAGGTGGAGGGCAGCCTTCTCAAACAGGGTGTCTCTTACTCAGCATCCAAAGTGGGGCGTGACTCTTCTCCCCCACCCCAACCCACCCCTGTCACTGACATTTAGGTGGAGATTAAACATCCCAGGTTTCATTTGAGCAGTGACCCTGAAAATGTGCTATTGGTTTTCTCTGCTACAGAGAACAGGAGACTTGGGGAGGACTGGGATTTGCCCCAAGTCAAACTATGGTCAGTGGTCAGGCAGGAACAAGTTTCCACCACTGTGCAGTGAACAGGCCCTGAACGGGAGATGTAGTTTTCTTTGTTGTCTTTCCTTGTTTTGGGTTATTGGACATGCCCAGCTGTGCTCAGGGCTTACGCCTGGCTCTACGCTCTATTCCCAGCAAAGCTCAGAGACCCTCAATTGTGTTGGGAGGAATCAGGAGAGATGAGGAGGGGGGCAAGTACCGGACAAATGCTCAAGTGCCTTAAGCCCTACACTATCTGGCCTGAAAAGGACTTTTACCCGAGCCTTGGAAGAAAGGAGTAGCTTGAAGATGCTCTGATCTAGGAGTTATTGGCAATGGGCAGATTGTTCAGGAATCAAACATCCTCCCTCTAATACAGTCTTAGGACAAGTGATATGTTACATGACTCTTACTATAACTGGGAATGAAATAGATGGGTAAGTGGGAGGAGAAGGAGGTAGAGAAGGACGGGAAGCAGAAGAGAAAGAGAGGGGGCAGGGGCAAGGTAAGATCCCTAGTAGAGTAAGGGAACCATCTGGGAACCAGGGGTACTTCCAAATCCCTGGCACAGGGGTGAAAGGTGAGGGTGAGGGTGACAAAAGAGGAGCCTCAAAGGGAAGGAACTTGAGGGGCGACGTTGACAGCTGTGAGGCCTTCAGAAATAGAGTTGGTGACAGGGGATCAAGTGATTGGATCAGTTCATCTCTGTGCTCACTCGGGGCAAACATGCTTGATCAGGGACTGATGTCTCAGCAGGAGGCGTGGGGAACACCCAGGTGCTCAGAATCTCTTCATTCACTCAGCTTTGACTTTAGGCTGCTGCTGGAACGAAGCCTGCCTTCTCTGGGATCGCCAGGGCACGCGATTTACCAGGCCCTTCGCTGCCACGAGCTCGCCTGCGTGTCCACGCTCAAAGAGAAGCCGGATTTGTCTGTCATTGGATCAGATTTGTTCAATTTCAACATTCTGGCACAGGAAAAGGAAAGAAGCGAAAGCACCCTAACAGAGGGCTGATGGGCACTCAGGTCCCTGCTATGAGTTCTGGAGATACTAGGTTCTGTCATCTTCTCTTGGGGGAGTGTTTCTATGGCGTTGTCAAGGGGATTAGTCTTCTTCTGGATTAGTTGTGAAAAATAAAGCAAAAACCAAAGCAGGCTGGTAGATTTAAGGCACAGGGGAGATGAGATCTCCGGAAGTAATAGAACCAAGATGGGATTTCAGAAAGTTGCTGTCATTAACTGTAATGACAAAAGCATGGTCCTTCCCGCCCCACTTAGACCACGAGTTGCCCCCCCATGAGCGGCTCTCTGGCACGGCCATGGACTCAGAGGCACACAAACCAATCTCGGAACTATGCAGTTTTGGGCAGAAATCCCTCCAGACTTAATTAGTAAAATATCAGAAATTCAAAAGTGGCCGCATGACATCATATGGTCTTCATAACCAGCAATAGGAAACAAATTATTTCACGATGCCTTTCAGCAGGTCTGATTGTCGGGGGGGAAATTCCAAATAATAATGGTGCATCTTTCGTCGAAATAATGAATGTAATCAAAGCAGAGAGTTAAGTGGAAATTATTGGCCTCACAGGCATCGGGAGGGGTGGGATGGGGGGTTTATTGGGGTTCTTGGTGGTGGAAAATATGCACTGGTGAAGGGATGGGTGTTTGATCACTGTATGATCGAGACTTAAACCTGAAAGCTTTGTAACTTTTCTCAGGGTGATTCAATAAATAAATTAAAAAATAAGTAAATAAAATAAAGACAAAAGTGTTATGGCTGGACCCACTTTGTGGACTCAGGAACTGATAAGACTCTAGCTGGTGGCAACTCAGGCCAGAGAAGGCTGGACGCCCATAGGGAGAGGAACAAAGGGTTATTGCCTATTAGGACATGAATGTGGACATCAAAAGTTTCACTTTTCCCCTTGACAACGCCATAGAAACACTCCCCCCTCCCCTTCAATTTTTCTGTGTTCCTCCTGGCTCTTCACTGAGGAATTACTCCTGCCGGTGCTCGGGGGACCATGTGGGATGCCAGGGAGCAAATCCGAGTCGGCTGCATTGTAGCACTGTAGCAGAGTCCTCCTGTTGTTCATGGATTTGCTCGAGCGGGCCCAGTAACGTCTCCTTTGTGAGACTTGCTGTTACTGTGTCTGGCATATCGAATATGTCATGGGTAATTTGCCAGGCTTTGCTGTGCGGGCGGGATACTCTTGGTAGCTTGCCGGGCTCTCCGAGAGGGGCAGAGGAATGTGGAGGAATTGAACCCAGGTTGGCTGCGTGCAAGGTAAACGCCCTAACCACTGTGCTATCACTCCAGCCTGAGTCGGCAGCATGCAAGGAAAATCCTACCCGCTATACTATTGTTCTGGCCCAAGCTACAGACTTATGAGTAGAAAGCCCGACATAGGGCAGCTCAGAAGAAAACCTGTAAAACCAACTCTGCAAAGGCAAGCAGGGGGAATCCCCTTGGTGGGAGCAGGGTGGGATTGGAGGGCTGCATCGCCACCTGAGATGTGGACTCTCAGCTCTCTCCCCTCTCGAGATGCCCATGTTCTCTCTTGAATGTGTTCTTCTTTCCTTCCGCATAATCTTTAAATAAAATCATTTTACTTCACTCTTCATCCCCCCTGAATTCTTTCCTGTGAGGGAAGGTGACAGACCTGGCTAAGATTGAAGACTAATTTCCCTTTTCTGCAAAGAGCATTTCTTCAGTGCAGCCCGAATCCGGAGGTCCCTGGGGAATGAGGTGGGAAGGCTCAGTCTCCACCCCTGGCAAGACAAGTGGAACCCAGGTTTGATGTCCACCTCCTGCAGCTGGGAAGAGGTGAGATCAGTATCATCCCAGGCTCATCAGTCCTAGATTTCCTGAGGCATTTCCTGGGGCGACCAAGATGGCAGAGAGGGAAGTGAACGCCTTCTCTACCCTTCTGGAGGCTACCCCCTTCCACCTCCCCACTTCATATATGTCACCTGGCACAGAACACTCTCAGCTGATGTGGGTTTCTTCTCAGAGCTAGACAACTTGGATTGCAATGAATTAAGACATTTAAGGTTTCCCTTCCTCGGAAGCTGGGGCTTGATGGGGTGAAGAGCACTGGGAGCCAGAGCTGCCCTGGAACTGAGAGCCCGCATGAAGCAGCTGCTCGGGCGTGCTCAGGAGCGGAGGCGGTTGGGGCCAGCAGCTCCCGGCTCTGAACACTTCCCTGTGCCAGGGAAACCCACTCTTCTCCTTCCCAACCATGCTGGAGCTCTGAGAAGAAAAAATAAACCTCCAGGAATAAAGTCAGCCAAATTGCCGTCTCCGCTCCAACCAGGACCCCAGAGCGACCTTCCAATGCCAGCCATGGCCTCTGAGCACACAGCAGACAGCTATTATCCTGAACCCCCACCCCTGGATCTCTGCAGAGAACCCCCCACCTTCACCCGCACAAGCAACTCAGACAAGATGTGGCTGACTCTGGGAACACTGTCAGGTCACGGAGACGGAATGTTGTGCACACAGTCAGATTCAATTTTTTCAAACTTTAAACCGGAGTCTGGCTCTCGTTGTGGGCTAAAACTCTTATTATATCAGAGTCATCATGTTGTAAAGGAAGGTTCCGAGGTGCAAAAAGCTCACACGGCTGGCAGAGCCAGATAATCTCTTCGCCCTCCCCTCCTGCCCCCAGTTCAGTACTTTATAGGAGCCACTCTTTGGTGGACCCAGAAGTTCCCAAAAGTATTTGGTCCACTGCCTCTTTTTCAGGAAAAAAAAAAAATTAAAAAAATAGCAACAAACTGAAAGAGTTCCTGCCCCCACCCCAATTGCATCTGAAGCTGCTCTCACACCGTGGATCATTCCACTGCCCCTAGAGAGGGTGGGTTCACCCACTTTGGGAAACCAGGCTTACAGGGTTAGTGTGTGTACCACAAGGTTCACGAAGAATAGCCCCAGAGCACTAACGGGTGTGGCCCCCAAACCAAAACAGAGAAAAAGTATAGTTCCTATACTACTCTTTATAAAAAAAAACAAAAACTATATATTAGGTTCACCTAATCAACCAAGAGAAAAGTTTTTTTTTAGAAATTACAGCTCACACTGTAATGCAAAGTGATGCATAGTGATGCAAAGGCCCTGAGGTCTTTGGGTGTGAGTAAAGAGGGATACTGAATACAGACAATTCTGTCTCCCAACTTGCTTCAATAATCAGCCTGAAAGTCTGCCTTCCTCCTTCTCTCCTTTCCTAAGCTGGGACTGAATCTGGAATTGAGGAAGTAATGCCTGCCTGCTCTCTCTCTCTCTCTCTCTCTCTCTCTCTCGCCCACCCCCTTTCTTTCTTTCTTTCTTTCTTTCTTTCTTTCTTTCTTTCTTTCTTTCTTTCTTTCTTTCTTTCTTTCTTTCTTTCTTCAGCAGATAGGCCAGTCACAGGCATTGCACAGCAGGGGTTGTACATAGGCAGGGTGCTCGCCTTGCAGGTGGCTGACCCAAATTTGATGCCCAGCTCCACATATGGTCCCCAGAGTTGGTACCACCAGGAGTGATCACTGAGGGCAGAGCCAGAAGTCAGTCCTGAACACTGTAGGGTGTGAACCCAAACCAAATAACAAGAACACAAAATCCAAAACCAATCTCATCAGTCAAGCGAAGCAGAAACGACACCCGTCCAATGGCAACTTCACACTGGCTTCAACTTTGCAAGAGGAACGAAACAGTGAGAATCATTTGACTTCCCCCCCCCCCCCCCAGGCCCCACTTCCCCGCTCTCTGCAGCCTTCTCCCTTCTCCTGCCCTCCACAGCCAGCACCTGCTTTCCCACTTGCCCCAGTGTCTGTCAAGTCTGGTGCAAGACAAGTCCAACTTTTGTACTCAGTTCCTGGAGGAACAAGATTGGGAAATGTGGAATTAGTGACAGTTAAACGAGTTTGTCTCAGCACATTCTAGACCCTTTGTGATACATCTAAAGGAAAACCTTTCCCCCAGACTTGCTTGACCTTTTCAAGTTTATCCTGTGAACTGAGTGTTCTTGGGGACTGTTCTGGAGAAATGCTGTTTGGTTTGGGTTTTGACCTTCTTAACATGCTATCCTCCAGTTTTGTCCAATTTGCAGCGAATTGCATCTCATCATTCCTTGCAGCTGCATAGTATTGTTGTGTACATATAAACACCACACCTTTGTTTTCCTCATGTCACTGGACACTTGGATTGATATGGATATCCTAGTGGTTGTATTTGTGCTGCACTGAATGGTGTGCAGAGGTCCTTTTGAATAAATGTTTGTGTCTTGGGGATAAACACTGAAGCAGAATTGTTGGGTCACATGGAAGCTGTCTTCTTTTGCATCTTGTGAAGTTTATCATGCAGAAAGTGTTGACATGCCTGCTAATTCCTATTACTCTCCTACCACAGAGAATACGACTGTTGAGCCAATCACAACTAAATTCTGGCTTGCCTTTTCACCTTCTCTATGAGGACCACCGTGGCAGGCATTCGGTGCCACTTTTCTCCCTTCATCACGTGTATTATTTTGAAGCTCAGAGTCACCCTGCCAAGAAGAGTGGTCTGGAAGGGCAGTCATTTCGGGTTGTCCCAACCGGGCATCTCGTGGGAGGCCCAGAATGCTGCTGGAAAGACTACAGAACATGGAGCAGCTTCCAACAAAACTTGAGTAGTACTGGGTAGTAGCGGTGGTACTAGTGGTGTACGGCAGGCAGGACATTTACCTTTCACACAGCCAGCCCAGGTCCAATCACCAGCATCCCATATGGTCCCCAGAGCAATGCCAGGAATTAATTCCTGAATGCAAAGCCAGAAATATGCCCTGAGCACCCAAAATCCTTAACACCAGTAGTGCTGCAGCTGGGAAATCCTATCCTGCATAAAGGGTCCACAACAGACTTAGTGAAAGCTTTGTGATGTGGTTGAATTGAGGATATGGACATTTGGAGGAAGTTGGATGACCTATCTGAAAAAGGGGGTGGGGCAATTTGAAAAAAAATTTTTTTTGGTCACCCAGTGATGCTCAGGGGTTC